AAGGAATTGTTTGTTTTGGGAGGTTAGGTAATATCATTAAAGTTTGGTCCAGATCTGTCATTATCTGGGTTCAGTGCTCTCTAGATAAAGGATGAACTGCAACTCCCAGATTCCCAGAGCAATCATCCCCAAATCCTTCCAGTATTCATGGTTAGCCATGTTGGGTTTGTGTGCCAAGTTTGGTTCAGATCCATCGTTGACTGGGTTTAGTGCTTTCTGAATAAGGGTGAACGATAACTCTCAGATTCCCAGGGCAATCACCCCCAAACCCTGACAGTATTCACAGTCGGCTATGTTGGTTCTGTGTGCCAAATTTGTCCCAGATCTCTTGCCAGCTGGGTTTAGGGCTTTCTGGATAAGGGTGAACTACAACTCTCATATACCCCAGGGAAACCATCCCCAAACCTCACCTGTATAGAGTTGGCCATGTTGGGTCTGTGTGCCAAGTGTGGTCTAGCTGGGTTCAGTGCTCTCTGGATTAACTAAAATTCCCAAAATCAAGATCAATTCCCACAAACAATGCAAACCCCTACTTTTTGTTCAGTTGGTCATGGGGCTTCTCTGTGCCAAGTTTGGTCCCGGTCCATTGGTAGGGGTCACTGTTTCTCTGGATGCTTGTGAACAATAACTCACATAAATCAAGGCCAATGACCCCAATACTTCTCCAATGTGTTCTGTTGGTCATGGGCAGTCTGTGTGCCAAGTGTTGTCCATATCTAACATTAGCTGGGTGATTACTCTCTGGATAAGGGGTGAACTACAACTCCCCAAATCAAGATCAATTCCAACAAACCTCTGCAGTATGTTCAGTTGGTAATGGGGCTTCTCTGTGCCAAGTTTGGTCCCGGTACATTGTCAGTGGGGGTTTCTGGTTCTTTGGTTGTAAGTGAACTACAACTCCCAAAATCAAGATCCGTTCCCCCCAAACCTAGTCATGTGGATTCTGTGTGCCAAATGTGGTCCATTGTCGGTGGGGGGTACAGTGCTCTGCTTTGATGCCAAATGAACTATAACTTCCATTATGTGGAGTCAATCCCCCAAATTCCTCCAGTATGTTTAGTTGCTGCTCAGTTCTGCTTTGTTTGTTATGTAGACAAAGCTGAAAAGAGTAGGAAAGGGTTAAGGGAGTGGTAGTGGGTGAGGTCAAGCAAATTCCACACCAATGGAGAGAGAAAGGAACACTGGGATGTTTGCAGTGGAGGAAATACATAAAATCTAGGATGAAAGTGTCCTGTAATGAAAGCATTCCTTGGGTGGTGGGCTGTAGTGTTTGGGGAGGACATTGGCAGGGTTTTGGGCTACATGTTTATGGTGCTCGCTATAACCTAGATTCAGAGGGAGCGTTTTTAGTGGCTCCTCGGCATTGTGGGTTAAAACTATTTGTGGAATTGGGAGCTTGTCTGTGGAAGTTGGCACCCCAGCCACATACACACATATACATTTTCACTTTTATTATATGTATAGATAAATGGGGATACTAACCTAGTTCAGTCAGTTTTTCCCACTGAAATTATAAATAGGCCCCAACTTGAGATTTAACAGCTACAAGCTGGGAGGAAATAACAAGTTAAAATCACAACAGATAGACCATAAAGAGGTGAAGCTGAGCAAGATAGAGTAAAAACATTTAAAAATCATGACATTTGGTCTACGGGGTGCACAATCGCGAGTTTCACTTTTGTAGATTGATTATTCAGAGATTTGATTAAAATACCTTCTCCACAAAACTTGAGGTTGTCCAATGCAACTCCATAGTCAACATCTGCCAGAGGTTGGACACAGAGTCATGTTCGAGGACCTAGAGATTGCTAAAGAGAAATAACTTCCATGGAAGTTGACCACAAACTTGTTTTTTCCCACTTTCATGGGGGTCCTACCCCTTAACTGCAGGGAAGGCAGACTGTAATTGGATCAAATTTTACCACCAGTAGGTTACAATGACATACATCAAATAATTTCAAACTTGGGACCAAGATGTCAATTTGTTTGTTTTTATTTGGAAATCTGAAAAGTAATCTCTTGGGACTGTTACATAACCATCTCTTCATTTAATATCATTTATAGGAATATGTAGAATCAATTTGTACAAGCATATACAACAACATGATTTTTTAGTAAATGCTATTATAATCAGTTGTCTGATTTGTTCTAAACTACCAGCGTCCCACAGTCTTTTTTGTGTTGGTAGCATGGACAACTCCAAGTACAAGGCTTACATGCATGGTTCTGCGTTGTTAACTACAGCAGGCCTTGATAACATGCAACTTAATACTGTAGCAAATTGATTTGTTATCTAACAGACATAAAAAGGGTTATATTGATATGAAAGTCTGAAAATCTGCATAAATATATAGTGTAAAATTAAATTAACATTTCTTCCTTTTCAACTAGAACTTGTAGTAAGAATGCCCACATAATTCATATACACATTATACACATATATATATATTTACGTTTTGTTAATTAATCAAATATTCTGTATAATACATTGACTTTGTATTTAATTACCAGCAACAGAATGACAATGTGGTCATACAGTATTCAATGGATTCAAAACGGGTGTTTGTACCACGTGCAAATCGAATTTTGTTGACTATTGTTATCAATGTTGCCACAGAAATGTGATTTTCTACAATATTGTGATTGCATGTGTATAAATACTTTACATTTTCACAGTTACAAACTCCCTCCCTCTTTGCCCCTAACAGCTATTTCATGAATTTTAAAGTTACAACGAGCTGTAGTATTTGGGACTGGTAACAAGTGGATCAAAATGAAACATTACATAGTATGTAAACATGTGTCAAAGTGCCCAAAACACATTTGTTTGTTTGTTTGCTTGAACTAGAGTAAGTAGATTTGGCACAAGGGCAATCTTTGGCCCCCTTGGCAATTCTTTCAGCAGCATTTTGCAAAATTTTACTTTCAGTCCAGATAAATTGTTAGAAATCATGCTGATGGCATATTTGGAATAGCAAAATAACCTGCGCAGCTTTGATACTTCATGCTTGCTGCTGGTTGCACAGGTGAGTTTCCCAACATTGCATATGCTCAATTGCATTCTCAGTGCTTCATATGCCAGTCCATAAATAGACAAAATTGCACCATCCATGCAATGAGATGGAGGCATCAGCAGGCCTGAGGGGAACTCAGTCTTTGCAGAAGTACAAAAACATCTTTAGGAAAAGCAACAACACTCAACTGTGAAGGGAGGAACTCAGGAAATGTAGGGGAGGACTATGGTGGAGAAAAGATATAAAGCCCAGGGTTGTCTCTGATAGAAGACTCATGGGGCAAACACAGCCTAGGAAAGTTATGTTAGGGACAAGACAGTCAGCTGGCTGGGGGGAGAGGGTGTTGAGAGAGAACTGAGTAGGGTTTTGGGGAGCTGAGAATGATTAAATAGTTCAAAAACTTACAATTGATCTAAGGGGACTGTCAGACAACACCTAAAATGTGCAAGCTCTCACGTTTTTACGTGGGGTGTCCAAACACTGCCTTGGGTAAAACCAAATTAATTCAAGACAAAGCAAGAAATCTCTGCTTTGTCCCAAATTAATTAGGTACCCCATTAAACCCGGGCTTTCCTGAAAGGCCCAGGTCTAATGGGATATGGGGCCTGTCTGGACTGCTCCCTCAGAAGTTCTGGGACTTCCAAGGGGGCAGTCCGCATAGCCCTCTCATGTTTTCCAGGCTAAATCAGCCCAGAATACTTGAGAGTGCTGTAACCCACTCCACAACCCCCCCCCCCCCAAAAAGGGGTTTAAAATAAAATTACTTACCCGGCTGCCATGAAACTACTGCTGGCATGTAGAAATGATGTGCCAGGAAAAAAAGGGGGGAGGAGAAAAATGCCCCCCCCTTTTTTGGCACGTCTTTTCTATGTGCAAGGAGAGCTCTGGCAGCAAAGCAATGGAAGCCAGGTAAGTTATTTTCTTTTTAAAAAGGGTTTTCTGTGGGTTTTGTGTTTTTAGAAGGTCCAGAAGGGCATCTAGACACCCCCCCCTCCAGAAAGCGCAGGGTTTTCTCCCAGTGAGGGGACAGAAGTCTGCCCTGACATGGGTTTTTTAAACCCGAGTCGGAACGAACATTTCCACTGTCTGGAACCGCTCTAAGTATGTATTACTAGACTTCCACTTGGTTATTCTTCTTTATAACTGTGTCTGTTCCTGTTCAGCTTTGATGCAGAATCTGCAATGAATCCACTGAGCAACACAGGGATCAAATTAAGGCTCAAACACCCAATCCAAAGAGGGATCTTGAGGTGAGTGACCCAGGGGTTAGAGTTGTGGAGATAGCTTGGAGAAGCGATTCATCGCATCCACAACTAAACAAAATGGGTATTTATCAAGCAAAAACAGTCCAACGAAGACTGATCACTCCAGGTGATAATGAAATTATGATATGACTATTAGGGAGGGACAGAAAACTAAATTTGGAGAGAGGAAAAGGAACAGAGTGGGGTGACTGGAATTCTGGACAGAAAACATTTCACACTGTGATCATTTCTTGCAGGCCCCCTTTTTTGAATTTCAGTGAAATCTGACAATTGTCCTCATGGCAAACAAAACAAAACAAAACAACAACAAGCAAACAACCCAAACGAAACAAAAAAGTTGATGTTCCAGTAAGTGGTGGTGTTAATTGTATTACAAGCGACTGGGGGGGGGGGGGGGGGGAAAGAAAAACTGCATGTCCCTCACCAAAGGCTTCTGTGATGGCTAGAAGGAAGTTTTGTGAAACACAGGACACCCCCCCCCCCCCCCAAATAAAAAGCCTAATTAAAATACCAATTACAAGTTAGAAATGAACAAGTGCAAATTACAAGACTATAAAGAATGATGCTGTGCTGGACTGGCATTACTCCTACGACTCAGATAAAGACAAATTTTACCTCATTGAAAGGGAAGCATTTTTTTCTGATTAGAACACGATTTTAAAACATTATCTTCCCTTCTTCCTCCTCCCCCCCCCCCTCTCCCCTCCTCCTCCTCCTCCTCTTCTTCTTCTTCTTCTTCATACAGTACATCAAATGTTACCAAAAAATATATCCAAGCTCTTTATCAGTGATTTGCACCTACACTTGACACTACGTGAAAGAGAGACAACCTTCCACTCTCCAGTGAGTTAGCTTTAGAAATACAAAAAAAGATTTGCTGATTTGCAGATGTCAGTGTGCCTGTTATAGCTTTATACCACTGTTGCTGGCCTGCGGTCCATCTCCGCTTCGAGCTTCACCATCTGCTGCATCTCCTTTGCCTGCAAACCAGGACAATGACAATATTAACAAGACTGAAGATGACAGAGGAAAGCGGAAAGAGAGAGGGTGAAGTGGAGAAATTGTATATTTTGAGACTACCATTTTAAAGAAGAGATTCTGGGCTGAAAAGAGGTGTTATAGAAATGGAATAAAGGTAGACATCTCTCCAGCATGCAGGGGGAAAGAAGAGATCCTTATTTGTATAATAACACTATGCAGCTCATTGAAGCTGCCATGCATGCAAAAAAGCTAGAGAATAAATCAGGAGTAAACTCTTCATTTTAGTGCACACTAGATTCATTTCTTCGGCAAAGCAAATGGAAATATATACTTTTAGAGCAATCACAGATGTTATATTTCTCTCTGGACATGACTGGGTTGGTTCCCAACCCTAGTATCTCAAGTCAAGATGTTGATGGGAAAAAAAATCAAAACATGGAAATGTAATGAATGGATCAGCAAGGATAGCGTCTTTTCAAATTACTGCTAGTCAAGGGGGACAAGTTATCTATCCCTTCTCTTCAACGGTCTGCAAGTGGTTGTAGTACATCTTCTGAAACTGTTTGAAGATGCATGTCTCCAGTATATTTTCTGGAGAATACCTCCACTCACATTTACTATTTATCTTAAGCAACCAGAATGATTTGAAATCTAAATAGGAACAGGAGCTTGAGGGACATATTTACAGGGGAGAAGTGGTAGATGTGGAAAACTTTAAGGGATGTCTTTGTATTTGTTCTCTCCCTCAAAATGACCTCTCTACTGCCTTCCACTGAAGAACCTGGGTGAAAAATGGTCACGAGAGAGTCATTTTCAGGGGAAGATAAGCAAATCTTGATCACTTTCCTGCATTCTGATGATAATACCCCTCTATGGATGCTGCACATCAACATTTGCATTATCTTTGCAAATGAAGACATGACAATTTGCACTTTATTGTTTTCATCAAAATACAGGAACATGTATGTATAGTATGCTGCTATATTAATATAAGAATAATAAAAATAGTCGACAATCTGGCTTTCTTCATCTATGGAGACTAGAAATACAACCTCCTTCTTCACTAATGTCTTGAATTAGTTATGGAAGATCTATTATTCCTGTTTAATTCTGGGCCTGAAACAATATTCTCCAAACTATTCATTTGTCTTTCAGTGTCACTTCATACTGGAGGTGCATAAATGCTATTTAATGCTATTTACTTCTAATGGGTTTTATGGATAGATGATATCAAAACTAGTGTTGCCTAAATAGGCAAACAAACTTCTAAAAGTCGTAATCTTTGCATGTCCAGTACAACCTCCATATACGTTGAAATTATGAATTTACTGTGGACACACAAAATCAAGAATGAACCCTACTGAAATGCACAATTTTTAGTAGAGGTTACAATAGAGTGTCCCTGGAGGACCAAGGAAGATATGACCTCTAGGAATTTTCTACGTCTTATCAGTTGACTCTATGGTAACTTCTGGGGGAAGCATATCATAGAATGTAGACCTAGAAAATTCTCAGATATGACATTTTTGTTGGGTGGTCTCCTGGATGCAAGGATCATATTGTATTATGAACTGAATCCTGTCTCCTTTCAAAACTCTTCTCAGGTTCAGATTGTTAAATAAAGTTCTATGCAGGCATGGTTGGCACTCAAACACCAAGAGCAAAATTCCATTAGTTTTTTATGCCTAGCTAGTTATTATCTGTTGACTCTCTGATTTCAGCAAAAATTCTTGTTGATTGCTAAAAACCAGTGAGAACAAGATTTACACAATATCATAACGCATGAATAAATAAATTTAGAAACTGAACCTATCCATGTTCAGTCTGTGTTGACTGCAATGTCAAACACCCATGCTACCAAAATTACACCAGATTTTTAAAGGAAAACCTCAATGTGCACAGCACATCAATCAGCAAATTCTTACATTAGGAGCCAAAATGGAAGAACATTCAAAGAAAGCTCATGAATAGTGAGCTAATTCCAAGTCAAGGAATAGGGAGATCATCCATCTTATAGCTACAAGTTGTATCTCATAGATTATTTATTTCAGAAGGGAAACACACTGAACAAAAAACCTTGCTCAGTGTAGATCAAGCCTACCTTGAATTTGAGACACTGCATGACAGGATTTCAAAAGCTGTTTGCACAAAAATAATAATGTCAAACTTGAGTAATACAACAAAAAATCAAAAATGAATGAAAAGAGATGTGAGAGTGACAAACATAAGCAAGAAAATTAAATATATGCATGTTGATAACACTTAAACATTATTGTGGAGGTTTTTTTGGCATCTCTCCATTCTTTTCTGCTAATAAAATTTACTGTAATGTTTCTACACAACAATACAATATGTATCTCCTCCAACGCAAGGATTGACTTTAGTTGGTCTTACTCTCAGATGGACCACATTGTTCGAAATTTATAAATGCAGACATAGTTTAATATTTAATGAGAACTCATTGAAGTCAAATTAAAAGAGCAAAAATAAAATTTTAAAAGGACAAGCTAGCTACAAGTCTCAGTACAGTATATGAAATAGCTTTTTATTCGAATAAAAATCTGCTTTCAAATAAATGCTCACTAAATTGCACAAAAATTATACAAACCCATGAAATATCACCCCTCTTAAGGCAAGATAATGGAAAATATGATTTTATGGTACATGGACTAACCAAGGTGAGGCCTATATGCTCCTTACTCTAGTACACACCCTTAAAGTTCTCCATTATGTAAGAACTCAATCAACTAATAGTTCACTGAAACTATGTCACAATGCAATCACTTATCCCTGGAAGTGTTGTGGAAGCTCCTTTTGGAGATGGGGACTTCCAGCTTTCAAAATTTGGACTGGCATTTTGCAAAGTGTTTCTCCTCTAAACAGAACCCAATTGTTTCTTAAGATTCTAGGTAAATGAAAATTGTGCACCTTGAACTCTTAGGGCAAAGTAGGCATGGGACAACTTTGGCCCTCCAGGAGTTTTGGACTTCAACTCCCACAATTCCTAATAGCTGGTAGACTGTTAGGAATTGTGGGACTTAAAGTCCAAAACACCTGGAAGTTTGCCAATGCCTGGGGTAAAGTGTGCTCTTGAGATACATTTGCATATGACCTTAGCATGCAGTGTAAGGTAGCCTCTAGGCTCAGTCTCATGCTCACATGACCAAAGTCTGCTAAAAGAAACAGGACTGCTATTGACAGAGAAGAGGGGGTACACTTTTTCCATGATGGCACAGGCCACTTCTAGTTTCAATTAGTGGTTATGCAGAAACTTTTGCTTAAAAAATTAATGGGTTTGTCAATATTTTTTGGCTTATTTCAGAACCAAAGTAAGAATATGTGGTGCTCCAGATGTTGCTGGACTGGAACTCTAACCACTTTTCACCATTGACTATTATGCCTAGGCCTGCTGAGAGCTGCGGTGCAACATCTGGAAGGCCACGTCATCCCAAATGTTTGTAGACAATCACATCTTAAAGACTGAGTTAATCTAACCCAGGACTGTGGAACCTGTAGCCCTTCAAGATGTTGTTGTATATATCCCACAATTGCTGATCACCGGCCATATTGGTTGTTACTAAAGTGAGTTGAAATTCAACAGTGTAGTACCAGAGTTTGCCACACACCTTGATATAATCAATTGGGACAAAATGCTCCTTTCAGACACGCATATCTCTTTCGCAGCCTACCACATGATTACCTGCTCATTTTGCTTCTCCAGAATTTCTAGATGTTCAAGTTGAACTTTCTTTAGCTGATCCATTTCCTTTGACTGCTTCATTGCCAACTGTAAGTAAAATGAAACAAATGCAAACATGAAACATAAATTCTCATAGTGATTGCCCGGCTTTTAAAACCAATGCACAGATTTCCCAAAAGATTGCTTCTGCGGGGATTCTTCATAGAATCCTAGAGTTGGAAGAGACCTCATGGGCTATCCAGTCCAACCCCCTGCCAAGAAGCAGGAAAATTGCATTCAAAGCACTCCCGACAGATGGCCATCCAGCCTCTGTTTAAAAGCCTCCAAAGAAGGAGCCGCCACCACACTCTGGGGCAGCGAGTTCTACTGCTGAACAGCTCTCACAGTCAGGAAGTTCTTCCTAATGTTCAGGTGGAATCTCCTTCCCTGTAATTTGAAGCCATTGCTCCGCATCCTAGTCTCCAGGGCAGCAGAAAACAAGCTTGCTCCCTCCTCCCTCTCACATACTTATACATGGCTATCATGTCTCTTCTCAGCCTTCTCTTCCTCAGGCTAAACATGCCCAGCTCTTTAAGCTGCTCCTCATCTTCTAGAGAGCAAAATGAGGGATTTACACTTCTGAATAACTCATCTTCAAAAGATATTATCCTTTTCTTGACTTACATTGCATACCATTTGTAGTGTATAACACAGAACTTCTCTCTTTGGCATGAGGAAGGAAAGAGCACCAAGATGTGGGCCGAGCCATATCAGTCTCCTGTAGAGACAAACTATGAAACTGTTGTGTTGAAAAGACACTATTGTCATGACTTCTAAATTCTCAGGAAGGTTCAAAGTGGGCATGATTTGTGTGTATCTACATGCATACCTTTATATGCTTTAACTCTGCCTGGTGTGTGCATGTGTATCTGCATTTGTATGAATACACATATGCTAAAAATTAAATGCGTAAACACGATTTTCATTCTATACTTTAGCCAAAAGAAATGGATAAACATGACTGTTGGATGATTATTCAAGAAACACACTGACACTTGTGATATCTAACCTACTTACCCGCTTTCTTTCTTCTAAAAACTTCTTTGTGTTGCTGCTGTTCAGTTCCCTGACACGCCTAAAAAGACATTTTTGACACTGTAATATATACTCGTGCTTTTAAAATGGAATGTCAACAAAAGTGGGTTAGAATGTAATGACTATTATGTATATCAAACGTAGGATGGAGAGAAAATTCAAAAACAATGACTCAATAGATGAAAAAGGATTTTTCTGAATACTGAGAAACAAGGAAAATTTCTCAATAACAAGAACGCTTGAAGTTGGAGAGGTTTCTTTACAAGAAAATCCACATGAAAAACCAGTCAGAGTTTCTGGTTTTTAAAGAAGTTAGCCTGTGCATTACAATATGTGCACATCTAGCTATCAAATGGAACTCTATTCCAAGTACCCGTTAAACAGCTAAACTCCATGAAAGCACAGACCAAATAAAATTGTCTTCAAGGGGCTAACACATAGTGTAGTGTATATGTGAGCCATATGCAGCACACATTTCTTTGCCTCTGACCTCCACTGTATCCTCCAGACCCTACATTCAAACAATGTGTTTGTAAAACTTAAAAATGTAATTTTGAACTTAAAAAACAATAACATTTTGCATCCTAGTATTAAGTAGTGACTACAATTTTTACTGGTTATGCTGCAACAAACTATTTCCTAACACAGGAAACTAAAAGAAAAAAAAGGATGCGTTCCACAGAGCTTCTATGCTATTCAACCTCTGCTCTTGTCCCCATTACTTGTATCAGGTTTCCTGTTGTGATAGAGTCTGTTGGCAGTGATAGTAACACTAGTTGTATTAGGAGAGGCAGGAAAACTACTCGCGAGCAAGACTACTTCTTTAATTGGCTGGCGTCTGACCTTGACATTTCCTCAATCAATCAATTTTTCCCAAGTTTCTCCAGAATTTCTTCTTGTTACCATTTACTGTTATCATTCTAATAATGTTAATGTCTTTGCAGATTTATGATGGAGCCACTTTGTCATATATTTGCAAGTAGCGACATAGGAAACTAACATTTCCAGACAGTAATCCAAACATAGTCTAGAAAAAGCCCATCATCTCAATCATATAGCATCAAGAAGGGTATAAGGAAACAGCTCCACTTGAGGGATTTCCCTGATCTACACTATCCTGATGCACTTGGAATTTAAATATCTTAACATTCCAGGATTTTTTGCACATTCTGTAGAACAAGAAGATTGCATATATTTGAAAAGTGAAAAAAAAATGTAAATTTTATATATACTTGTGGGAGAATATTGTATTTCTTCAATTCTAAGATGCACTTTTTTCTATATAGACATCTCTTAAACTGGGGTGCATCTTAGAATTGCAGGTGTATCATGTATTATTGTTATTGGTGGTTCTACATCTTACAATTGAAGGCATCTTACAATGGAAGAAATACAGTAGGTGGATTGGGGCAAACAACACATAAAATCTGAAAAAAAATGAGCACAAAATGATGTATTTTCAGAAGGGTGTTATAAAAAAGCTATGGATTTTTTTTTCTCTCACAAAAATTATCCACACAGAGTGAGCTCTGTAATGCAATACTTACCTCTCTCTTTCAGCTTTGTTTTTGATGGATTTGTCTTGGCTGATGGCTTTACTGTTTTCCATTGAAATTTTGGCTTGATTGGCACGCATTTCTTTGCTTTCTCTAAAAAAAATTACAATATTTTTTTTTCCATTATGAAAGATACATTTCAATCATAGGAGTCAGCACTGAGGAGTTTGGAAATGATGTGTGGACAGCAGTGGACAGGGACAGAAGCCAATGTGTGTCAGAACATTTTTTTCAGTCTTCCGGCCAGCAAGATTTATAAGCAGGACTTAGTATATTTGGAGCAAGATTTATATAGTACTAATCAGCTGGAATCATAGTCACAAAAATAACTAGCTGTATTTACATGTAAATTTTGTGTTACAGGCCAAGTGTATTCAGTTGCCAACTGTGCAGCTTGTAACCTAGTGTAACAGATACAGTATAGATGCTGTAACATATATGGTGTAAGTTATAAGACAGAAGGTTAGATATATAATAACAAATATATTTTTTATTGTGAACCTATGTCTCAGTGAAATGCTTACCAGAATTTAAATAAGGTGAAGAAACAAATGCTGGTGCTTCTAACAACATTGTGAGATGTCAACAGACATCACTGACAACAGCTTTTGCACAAGTGCACTGATTGATCCAATCAGGATGGCAAGCAGCCAGATGCCAACTGCACCAGATGTATAGTCCTATATAAATACATGCGTTTTGTTTGGGTATCATAAATGATGAATAGTCAGCACCTTTGTTTTGATTTGTTTTGACTGGACAACATCTTGAGAGAGTTAAAGAAGCCAAATCAGAGCCAAGCTCAGATTACCTTTGGGAGTTTGCAGCATACAAAGAGATGGCTGACATGCTATCTTCTAGCCCTGCTGTTCCTGACAACTAATAAACTGTCCAGACATGTTGGGAAAAACAGACTGTGCTGGTAAGAGAAAGATAATTCTGGTAAGGACCAATCAGCCTATGTAGAAAGAGAGATTTGTCCCATTGTAAATGTAACAGATGCCTGTAAGAACAGCTATCCTGAATGCTGTTAAGATTTAACAATACTCCAAGAGATGAACTTTTGAATACCTTTGTATTAACAAATGTCTGGATTCAAATGTATGACTCCTCAACAGCTAAATATGTATACCTATATGGATCAGCTAAGTTATATTGTTAAAGATAATAATGTTTATGTATGTGCTAACTATTAAAAAGTCTGATAAAGAAAAAATAAAGGAGAAAAAGCATCAGTGCTTATGAAAATACAACATTTTAATGACCATATTCTGCAATGTGGCCAGAAGGTAATGATGGAATCCCAGAAAGAATCCAGATAACCTGACAAGGATCTTCAATCCCTCAGCCTAAAGCCTGAGGAACCCAACTTGCTTCAGTTGAACAAGGGATCTCTAAGCCAATTAACTCCTTAAACATTAACTAAACAAATTTGATTAAAGACCGAGGGGCTAAGAGTTGTGTAGATAGAGTTGATTTTTTTTAAAAAACCCTACAGAAACTATGTATGAAGACTGAATTTCAACAGCAATAAAATAACCAAACATACCCAATAAAATAAAGTACGTATTTTCCCCTTCACTAATCACTGAAGTTGTAGTTACCTATGGTAAAGCTTGAGTGAGAATTAAAAAACACTTTTAAGATTGGGTTGATAAAGACGGAATCTACCAACCCAACTGACATTGAAAGCCAGCTACTTGCAATCTGTAAATATTTTTAAAATACATGTCTAACAACTTCACTGAACATACCAGTTCTCTGCTATAAATATGAGCTGAATCAATTTTCAGCCTCAGAGATCTACCCTTCCTGCATGGGCGGCTTGAAACACTCACCTGTCATGGGAAAGCTTTAGTTGCTGGGTTTGCTGTTCATGCGCATTAACTAGCAGCTTCTTTAGTAACTCGCATTGCTGGCTCAGATGCAAATCACGCATTTCTTGCTCTTCGGCACTATGTGTATTGATCATCTCAGACCACTCTTTTGTGTGCTGTGCCACAATTTCTTTTACCTTGTGGAAAGGAGAATTATGTCAATATTTTCCATGCTTACTTTTCAATGTTGTCAGAGACCTAATTTGTAGGCAGCTCTGGGAACAGCTCTATAGCTCATAACTAGGCACTGCTGAAGACTTATCAAGGACACCAGAAACTGAAAAAAGTGAAAGAGATGCTTCTGGACACTTCCCTTTAAGCCTTTTACAATATTTGGTTCAAAATTATTAAAGTCATTTTCCCAAATTGCACTAGAGAACTGCATACAAAATTACAGTCATAGGATTAGTTAAATAGGAAAATAATTCATATGAGTTAATTCTTTATATATTTTATAATTCTTCCTTCAACATTGAGTTTATTAAAAATTGCGGAAGCTACCCAATGATGTTTATTCATTGGTAGACAACACTTGGGCTCATGAAATGAACAACACTCAATTTGCCCTCAGTTACAATCCCCATGTGCTTCTATGAGTTAACGGATCCTCCAAAACTCTAGAGAGCACAGTAACTAGAAGTCATGGTGAAATTAAAGTGTCTCACTTTTTCACAAGTGGAAGCACTTCCTGAAATCATTGATGACAATGTATGACTTTAATAATGGCCAGTTTTAATATTCTCACCAGATTGAGAGAGAAACCCGTATGAATTTGGTGATGGTAGAGGTGCAGGCAGCACCATCAGAGCCTAGTGAGAAACTAGTGAGAAACCAAAGCTCCATGGATATTGTTATAACCAATATTCAGAGAAACAACAAAATTAGAACAGTGAACCTCCAAAATTTGCCCCATGTAAATCATGGGATTTATATATAACACAATCACCGAAATACAATACAACACAAAATCTACCCTAATAGAAGTCTGGAAGGAGGAATTAAGTTACAGTGAGAGAGAAATAGACAATTGGATTAATTCAATCAATAAAATAAAACACCTAAAGATTAAAGAAATGCAACGAAAAATATTGACAAAATGGTACAGAACTCCTGTGCAACTGGCGCATATCACAAAAACGTGCCCAAAATTATGTTGGCACAACTGTGGTAAAATAGGAACATATGCCCACATGTGGTGGGAATGTGAAAAAATCCAAAAGTTCCAAGAAATAATCAGGAAAGAAATGGAGGAGCTATTAGGGATCAAGATAGAATGGAATAAGGCCCAATTTTTCACTCAGAAATTCGAAAATAAAGAGGAATATAAGGAAAGTGAGGAAATAATAAAACATATGATAGAGGGAATTAAAGCCTCAGTGGCCCTGGGCTGGAAAGACCACAAGAAATGGGATACAAAAACCTGGTACAAATATTTAGCAGATTACCTTCTTCAAGATTATATTAGCGAAAGGAAAAGTTACTATATGACGGGTCAAAGCAAAAAGACATGGAAAGCAAAATGGAAGGGTCTCATATATAGAATAAAGGGGAAAGATAAATATACGGTGTTGAACAAAACTATTCTCATGATTGAACAATTGTAATAAACACAGCTAAAGTATTTATTTGTTCCCGGGGGGGGGGGGGGGGGGGGGGGGGGGGGGGGTGTGCTGGAGGCGGAATTGGGGAAAAAACTGGTATTTTGAATGTTATTTTCAAAGATGATATGTTTCTATGTATTATACAATAATAATAATAAAATTAAAAAAAATCAGAAAAAAAAGAACCTCCAAAATTTGTAGCTTAAGTCAAAGCTGGAGTATGCACTGCCCTCTGCACAAAAGAATTGTGCAGTCTCTATATAAAAATATCATTCAGTGCCTGTTTTTCTAACAGGACAGTGACTTAAAATTCACTCAAGTCCTTAACAGCAATATAGTTTAAGCATCCAAAAAAAAGGAGCATGTTAGGGATTCTGATCAAATAAATGCGTCTGCAAGCAGATGTAGGGAGGAGAAATTATTTTGATACTTCTCTGTTTTCCCTACAGTTCATAATGGAAATTCCCATGCAAGATTATTGAAAATATTGTGTATAAAATTATTTTCAGGCTATATGCCTAAGATGTATTTGAAAAAAATGAATTTCATGTTTACACAGATATCTCGTTTTGTATGTATATCTAAATAATACATGCATTCCAAAATCCAAAATAATTCAAAATCCAAAACACTTATTTCCCCAAGCATTTTGGAATAGTCAACCTTATAAATATCATTTCCATTTTTTTCTGTTTAAGGGAACATCCTCAATGAGAAGATTTGCGGTCATGGGAAGTTAAGAACCAATGCAATATAAAGAAACAACATAGCACAGGCACCCACAAATCTCCAAGTCAAAGATTCTTCTTAAGCTTGGGAGCATACATCCAGTTCAATAACTGAGTTGCATGAAATTCCTTTTGCTCCTAGATGATAACGTTAAGGGAAGAAGGAATTCATCCTTGTCATCAGTGTATGCCAGTAGAAAATCTGGAAGGCAGTTCAGGTAGCAGAAGAACACATAATAGATGGACACTTCTTAATCACAAACTTTGGAATTTTAGTTAAGCTCTCCAGTATCTCAATAAATCTATAAATCTATATCATTTGGTGCTACTTTCCTGTGGAGTAAGCAACCTATATTTCTCACTTTTAGAATCACTAATGAACACAAAAGGAAGATGGTAAAATAGCTAATTCTTACCTTAGATTTGTGATCAGATGTTAGCATCTGTACTTTATTTTCTATTTCTTTTTTCACTTCGAGGCAGTTATTCCCTCTAAAAGACAAATGAAGAAATTTCAGACTTCTGCCTCACAGTAAATTCCCAATGAAAACAGTTAGATGTCCAAATGCCAGAACATATTTGAGCCACAGATCCCCTTTTGCACATTTACATACTCTTGGTTTGCCTATGTGCTGCATAATTCAGAATAATAATGATTCACTTGTGTAGAGAAAATCCAAGGACACCCAATATATAAATTTAGATATTTCTCTGTTTCATATAACTAGAGTAGATCAACTGAATCAAAAGGAACCTGGTAATCCAAGACTTGTATGGATTTCCTTAATTCAACAGTTGGTTATCAAAAATCAAATGTAGGCATTATTCACATTCAAGATAAAAATGGTTAACTGAATTGTATTCTTGCCTCATTGGAGACAGAATATGATAGGCTTCTTCTATACTCACAATGTGCGATTTTGAAAAATCTCTATTTGATGAAATTACAGTTAGGATGATCCCATGGATACAACTCAGAGAGTGACTTCTTCTGAAGAGTAATATATGCATTGCATTTTAATGCTGAGGATGGACAACGAAAGTGGAATAGAGACTAAGGAAACTAGAGAAATGAGAAGGGAATCTATATGTATAAAACATCTTGTAACAAAGGCTTAGGGCCAAAGCAAACATGATGGCATCAATTATCTTTGCTGTCTGCTACAAGTTCAGACAACCTATAAGGCCATGAGAGATTTCTAATATCTAAGTCAAAAGGGATGGAAGACTGAATTGAGTTGAACCTTCCTTTGCCTTGTTTCCTTTCACATCAGGTACTTCTCCATTATCTCCATCTCATTACAATTCTCTAAGTGAGCTGGGAGAAAAGTGCTTAAAAAGATGGGGAAATCATGATGGAGGTTTTGACTTCTTTGGGCCATGTATCTATATATGTCCAGGGCAGGACTTCCACCTCATTGTTTACACATTTACACATGAGGTCCTATGAGCAAAAAAGGTTATCTAATTTCCTTGTCTAGCTCAGCCCTTATGTGGTGAGGTCCTAATATTCCATAGAGAAGAGCATTTTTATTTTTCTTCCTTTTTTTTTGACTGAAGAAACATGCTGCTTATTAATCCGTGAACCTGATTCTGTAAGCATCTGTGAATGGCCACATGAATGCACTAACTCACTAGAGACTCCAAGACATGGAATGGCATTTATAGTGTTCAGCTGAAGTCCCTATTCAAGTGCATTAGGCAAGCAGCCCATCTGTCAGCATGGAAGAATATAATTATATTCCCCCCCCCTCCACTGGAAATGGTGGAGCTTATATATAGCCATGTACTCTGTAATTCTTTATACAGCTTAATTAACTTATAGGATTTGTTCCCAATGATGGTGTGATTAGCACTGGTTTGGTTGTTTTTTTTTTTTTAAAGGGATGTATATTTATAGAAGAGGAGAGTTCCCACCCATAGCTTTCAGTACAAAGCCTCAATGGAGCATGCTGGTGCAGCCGGAGGTAAATAATTGTTGCCTTTGTACTTGGGTTTGTGAGACTCCCAGAAGCATTTCGATGACCGCTGCTGAAAACAGGATTCTGGGCTATGCAGATGTTTGGTGTGATTCAGCAAGTTTCTTATAGTTTCATGGTACTCATATGCCAAGGAAATATGAAGCAGACTAAAGAACAGTATTTTGAAAAGTGTTCCTACTGGCCCTGCACACACCTTCAATTAGGACAGGAGTCCTATGGTTTGCAGTTTGCAGATCTTCACATACTTTATATTATTTATGCATTTTTTGGGAGCGAATGATCAAGAGAAATGGGTTCTCTACACTCTTTTGAGTAAAGAAATGAATTTTCAATGGAAAAAGAAATATCTGCCTTCTATTATTCAGAAGATGGAGAACCTTACTATTTTTTGGCAACGGAATTTGTGGAATTTTTTTTATTTACTATATTTATATACTGCCCCTCTCAGCCCAGAGGCGACTCAGAGCAGTTCACAAATTGGCAACAATTCGATGCCTCAACAATTATAACAAGTAAAAACAATCAAGAAATTCTGTTAAAAACAATAGCATAGGATATGACAAATATAAAAATCGTACAAAGCTTTAAAACAATTTCAATTCCATGCAAGTATTGTGGAGCCCTCATATGTAGTTTCTTCCATGTATCTATTAAAGGTATAGAAGCCCACTCTGGCATCCCAAATTATTCCACCAGCTTTCTTGGTGAAAATAACCATATTTGCTATGACAAAAAAGGAAACTGTATGCAAAGCTTCTGTGATATTTCATAATACCATCCAATGTCAAAAGAACATTTCCATATTTTTAGTCTTAGAGAAAGATCATTAGCAAGTGCACTAATTGGAAATGATCTGGGAAAACCTGACAATGCCAAGTCAGATCCACAAATATGATATTTTATGTCTTCAACAGTTACAAACTAGCATAGATGTTAGTTAATATCAGGCCCACGTGCATCTGTAATGCCACCACCACTATGCCATTATCTGCTCAGGTATGAAAAGATGTAGGTTGATCAAACTTGGTAAAAAAAAATAAGTGTAAGCAATGGAGAGTAGAGGCAAGTCAAAAAATATCACATTTCTAAAATATCACACAACTTTGTGCTGCTTTACAATAAGAGCAGCATAGTCTACCAAATAGTACTGAAGGCTGAAGATCATTCCATTAATAACAAGCTTTAAAAATAATTGGGGGCAACTTGAGGGCTTTCAAGTAGCCTTTCCAAGTAGGAACTACTACTATCTTAGACCCTTATATGTTGTTGGACAAAGACATCACTGGCATGACAGCTAAGGCTGATGAGATGTGAACTGCAGTAGCATCTGGATCTCAGAGCTGGGAAAGACTGGGCTATCAATTAAATCTCCTCCAAATCATTAGATCTGTTAGAATGTGGCAAGTTTTAGAATCAAACATAGCATTATTTCTGAATTGCAAACTGGATACCACTGAATTGTTTACTTAAATTCCAAATGAAAGAAAAAGCTTTGGATTCATTTACACACAAGGTGTGCAATGACATTCGCTTCTTGTTGGGGAATGAGAAACAGGATTTAAAAAGTGAATTAATGCAACAGATACATTCTAAACATTTGTAAAAAAAAAATCCAAATCCATACCCTTTTTTCTTGATTGCTTTTTCAAGGATTTTCTCATACCCTAATTTCTCTTTGTCATACTGTGCTACCATTTTGTCAACTTGTGTGCAGTGCAACTTTTGCATGACACTGTGTTCCTGTAACAACACAATAACAAAAATTAATACCTTGGGTTACAGTGTGCTTTATGAAACATATAAATGTATGTCACAGCACATGAAGATCAGATTAAAATACACACACACACACACACACACACACACACACACTTTTGACTAGTTTTTCTTATCTTTGAAATTGCACAAAGGCTCTTTTATAACTCAGGCATTTAGCCCCCAGGTCTGCATGCTCCACTTTAACTTATATGTAACTGAAACAATTGTACATTCTACCTCTATTTGCCACACCTTCACTTTTCTTGCCTTCTTGTTTTCTCTCTTTTATTTCATTGTACTAGATAAAGTACTGTGCAACATAGATGCTAATACTGGTTGTGCATCCCTTATTTGGAATTCAAAAATAAAAAATACCCCAAAATTCAAAACTGGTCACATGATGGCTCAACAATAACACCTTTGCTTTCAGATGATCTGGTGTTCATGTACTTTGTTTCATGCATACAGTTATGAAAAATATTGTATATAAAAGTATGTTCAGGCTATGTATGTAAAGAGTTTATGAAAATCAAATTAATTTCATATTTAGACCATCTCCAAAATACTTCATTACATATATGCAAGAATTCCAGACTGTATTCCAGAAAAATCTGAAATACATATTTCTGGTGTCAAGTATTTCAGATAAGGGATACATAACATGTATTGTGTGTAAAATCCCTTAACGTCTTCAGACTTCATTCCTAGTAAGCCCTATGGAAGATAATGGTATTGGCTTCTCAGAACATGGCATTTGTTTACAAACATGAACAATTTAGATTTCAGTGAGAGGATAAGGATGAAGAACACCCCAAAAAATCTAGGACATGAAATTTTATACTCTGCATTTCTTTCCAGATGGAGGTCAAGACAGTGGTACATCAAACAGAGAATTAGATAAAATGCCTTATCTACTTCAAATAGGCATATAGACAATACACCAGAAATATAAAAATTATGCATTGATTCAAAAAATTCAGTTGCAATCAGGAGTGACAACTAGTGTTCCTTTACAAATGTAACAAACCTTAATTCAGCAGTAAGTTAGGAACTACTACTATTTGAATATGTAATTTGCACTTGATCTGTTCTTTTGTTTTCTTTTTCTGCTCTGCAACCCCGTTTCTGTAAACAAAAAAACTAATGCAAAACAGTTCATAAGCCAAACACGTTAAAAATTACCATACCTTTACATGTCTCTTCTTCAAAGCGTTCAACTCTTTTTGCTGTTTTTTCAAATGCTTTATATATGCCTGCTCCCCATTAAAACAACAACAAAAATAAACCAATCAATGTCTCTTTAAGATGTCTAAAATTACAAGACAAGACAATACCTGCAACAATGGCATTTGCATACTTCCACTTCGAAATAAAGTTACATTGCAATCTTAATAAAACATTTTAAATTAGGGAGGAAGCTTAACAAACCAAGCTGTGGTATGGAAATAGCACGTGAGTCAATCACAAAGCCCGTAGGTCAAATCTGGCTTGCCATGTCATTTGATGTGACCCATGAGCTTTCAGTGCCAGGGCAACATAGTTACATTAATACAGTCTTAAGATCCAAATTTCAGGCTAAAAAATAGGGGTGCGCCTTAGAATCATGGACATTCTAGACCCCCTTTTTAAAAAGAGGATCAGAAAAAGTGACACAGTTGAAATACCTTTTCCCCCTGCAATCTTTTAGCTGTCTTCCCACAAAGATCTTTCAGCTGCCCCCCCCCCCCCCACACCCAAGCAATCTCTCATGCAGATAAGATTCAGAAACCTATGATTTCATAGAACTGGAAGAGACCTCATGGGCCATCTTGTCCAACCTTTTGATGCAGGAAAAGCACAAAGTACTCCTGACAGATGGCCTCTGATTAAAAGCCTCCAAAGAAGAAGCCTCCACCACACTCTGGGGAAGAGAGTTCCATTGCTGAACAACTCTCACAGTTAGGAAGTTCTTCCTCATGTTCAGGTGGAATCTCTTTCTTTCATGTAATTTGAAGCCATTGTTTCGCATCCTAGTCTCCAGGGCAGCAGAAAACAAGTCTGTTCTCTCCTCCCTATGATTTCCCTTCAAATCTTTATACATGGCCCTCATCATGTGTCTTGTCAGCCTTCTCTCCTGCAGGCTAAACATGCCCAGCTCTTTAAGTCACTCCTCATAGGGCTTGTTCTCCAGACCCTTGATAATTTGAGTCACCCTCCTCTGGACACATTCCAGCTTCAACATCTCCCTTCAACTGCGGTGCCCAGAATTGGACATAGTATTCCAGGCGTGGTCTCCAACAGACAAGAGTTCTTTCTCCCACCCTGGATATTCCACAGATATATAAACCCAACTTTTCTAGTTTTCAACAGGCCTCACAACCTTTGAAGGATGCTTGCCATAGATGCAGGTGAAACATCAGGAGATAATGCTTCTAGAACATGGCCATATAGCCCGAAAAACCTACAACTCAAAACACGTTTCCTTTTTTGGGGGGGGGCGGGTGGGGGGTGGGTAGGTGTTCAAGGTTTCCATCTATTAAAGTCAAAGTATGTATGTTTGTCTGTTTGTACAATAAAGGCTGTTTCTAAGGTAAATGGCCTTTTGTGATGTCATTGGATTGGTTGCTGCTAGATGAAAGATTGGCTATTGTTAGATGGTGGCTCTTTGTGATGTCAATGGGAAAGAAAGGTGACATGTGTATGAGGGGAGGAAGGGAGGAAGGAAACACCACAGAGCATGGCCATGGAGACTTTGTGAGGTAGGTCTTCTGAGAGTTAGAGAAAGACTGAAAGTAGGTGGCAGTGGTCACAATAACATCAAGCCAAGATCAGGAATATATGCTAATATATAGGAAAGAATGCTTCTGGAACATGGCCATTCAGCCCGAAAAACTTACAGCAATGCAGTGATTCTGTTCATGAAAGCCGTATGCATATATGCTAATAATTTATCCAAGTCTCTGTACTGTATTTCCTCCTGTGTAATGCGGCACTGAATGTAATGCGCATCTCAAAATAGATTTGCCCTAGAATGTAATGCTTGCAACAGCACAGGCATAGCACATTGGGGGGTGGGGGGGAGGAGGCAGAATTAATGAGGCCATTTGGGAAGCCATGCCCCTCCATCATGAGGAGGCCGGTGAACTGGCCAGTCTCACATTATTCCCAAATGGTCTCAATCACAAGGCCTTGAAACCTGGGGAGGAAGTTTTGAATGAGACCAGTTGGGAACCTCATGGGACTGAGCCTAGGGCAGGTAGGCAAGAGATCTTGAGGGCTGCCCAGGGGGCAGGATCTGTTGTGAAGTGACAGGAACAACTGGGCACCATGGAGCCCTGAGGTTGCAACCATTACTAGGAACAGCCTTTGCGCACACACTTCTTGCCTCTTTGCCTGGCCTCTGAGGTTTCAGGTTCCTCTGGGCCTTTTCATGTAGGTGGATTTATGTGCACCTTCCATGATATTATTTTAATTCAATTATTTTCTCCAGTGGACAATCCAATGAATTCTCCTTCCAGGTTTTAAAGAGATATGACTCTTACACAGAATTACCTTCATTTGCTTCAAATCTTCTATCTTTATTTGAGGAATAAGATCTATACCTAAAAAGGGAGATAAATAGAAGAAAACAAAAAACTTAGACACTGTTGTGATCTTAGACACTGTTTTGATCTCCACGCTAATGGCAATTTCAATGGATTTTTAGTGAGACACCCAGCCCCGCTCAAGAGTTATAATGCATACTATGAAGGAGGATGCAAAGTAATGTATACTCATGATTCACAATTAACATTAGTCACAGCCCTAAATCCAAATGTTACTGCCAACCACAAGGCACACTAAATCAATTGCTGCAAGATAAATAAACTCTTAATAGGTCTAACCTAGTTGGGATTAGAAACTGGATTCTATCCAAAGTATTTCTGCGAAGGAAAAGAGACACAACAAAACACAAAACAAAAATAAATAAAGGCATATTTACCTTTCTTAGGTTCTACTCCTGGTCCCACGCTTGTTGTGGCATTTGGTCTAAGTTCAGAGCTAGTCTGAGGAGTAACATTTGTTTTGGGATTATTAGCTTTGCCTTTCTTCTCATTCTTTGATGTGTCATTTGGAACATCAGCTATATCACTCTGGAAAACAACAAAGGAATTTTAGAAGATCACTTGATAAATCTGGAGCTATGGGAAATAGATTCCAAGTAGTCAAAGGAACCTGGATCCAGATTTAAACAAGAAGACAATGCCCGGATTCGAAGGGGCAGATCCAGGACCCCAAACAGAATCTAGCAATGTAAAGAATAGTCATGATTTTTCTTTTCACTATTGAAAAGTAATCAATTCCTGTGAGATTTTTCGTATTATTATCCTTTTCAAAAACTTCATTGTGCAAGAGACACTGCAATAACTGTAGTAATCTTGCCCAATGGGGAGAAATAACATCCATATTCACCAAACACTTTTTTTAGGACATACATATACACAACCACAACAGTTACAATTCCTAAAATAAAAAAATGAGGGTTAAAAAACATATTCAGCAAACCATGCAACACATTCACAGGTATTCACTTAATGTTATCAATATGACACATGGGATGAAATGGCCATTCTTTGTGCCCTGGGCCACCAATAGATTTCCTGACATTTAAAAATCCCACCAATTTTGATGAAATTTCTTTTCTGGGAACACAATAATTCTATATGAAAAACATGTTTTTTGCACACACACACATTTAACAGAAAAGTCACACAGATATTTCTTCACAGAACAATCTCCTAAAGCACTTTGGGATATGTGAATACTAGACAAAAATGAAGAAACATTTGTTTTCTTCTGCAGTGGGACTATAAATCACCCTCCCTCACATGCAAGAACTGACTATTCAAATATTTGCATGCCTAATTGATATTGCAAAAGGGCAGTCAAAACAATATTATCTAAAGTAGCATTATCCTTCAGTGCATAACCTAATGACTATTTTTAGGAGACTCGGGGCAAAATACCTGGCCATATTTACAACATATCGTTTTATACGTAAGCTGATGAGACAAAACTACTGCTGATATGAAAGTGGTAATGCTTTTTAGAGTCCTACTGCCGTATCCAAAGAGATGTTATCTCAAAAACTGCAATTGTTGAGAAATTTTTGTTCCAACACCCAAGAATGGGGTAGAAAAATTATGTGTGTCTGTATTGTCGATCACCACTGGCAATTCTGTTGTACTATAACATATAAACAATGATATCATTTTCCTTTTTTCCAGGTCATACATAGTTAGAAAGGTGTTATTCACATCGAATTAGCATTAACAGCTCTAAGGGAATTTCCATTATTTATAGGAGTGAGGGTGTGTGTGTGGGGGGGAGGGGGGAGACACCTCAATGGGAGCTCATTATGTCCAATGGGATGCATTTACACGAACAGGAAACCCCAGGGAGGGTACAGAGTGTACTAGCCTGGGAATGGATTGCACTGTCTGTCTCCACCCTGCTGTTGTAACGGAATGAAATCCTGACCATCCAGTGGAGCCAAACCCAGCTTGGTCCCACTGAACTACTACCCTATTGCTATTGTAGCTGCAGTCCCAGAGCTCCAAATAGCTCTTGACCATTCCTAGGCACTATGTTTGACATTTGTAAAGGTGCCAGTACGATTGAGAGGGGGTGGGTGGGTGTGATACCCCTCCCCTCTCTGAGTCATGCTGGCACCCTTGTAATGGTCAGCAATGGCACCCTGGGAGCTCCATGGTCATTGTGGGATGGCCAGAAAACCACTAAATTTGGTGTCATCATCCTATTCCACAGCACAGAGTCCAGGAAAAGTGGAATGGTTGTGTGAACAGTGAGGCCAGTTCCAATTCAGAATTCTTTTACATTACTACAAATCTCTGGAACTGGCATGGGCAAACTTTGGCCCTTTAGGTGATTTGGACTTCAACTCCCACAATTCCTAACGGTCGGTAAGCTGGCTGGGTTTTCTGGGCATTAAGTCCAAAATACCCGGAGGGCTGAAGTTTGCACATGCCTGCTCTAGAATACCTCTCCCCCAACTTTGCCTAATGCAAAACAATGTTAAGTGGCCTTGTCCTGTATTGGGAGACCTTGTGGAAGCCATGAGGCTGATTCTCATCCTCCCCAGTTTATACTGCCTTAAATTCTAAGTAGTTTAAGGGATAAATACTGAATATTTTACAGTATTAGGAGACTGTGACTAGTGCAAAGAAGGTTCCAGATGTGAACATGCCCTCTGCAATGCTGTCACGACATCTTCTGAGCTGATTGTAGTCCATTTTACAACACTGGCAACAGAAGGGAGAGCTGAAAAGTAGGTCAGATTCCCAATTCCATGATGCCAGATAAAACTGTTTCTGTCTCCTAGATCTTATAACCAAACACAGGGGCATACTGGGTGGAATTTTGTAAGGGGAACTATTTGGCCTCCTCAGAATCTTGCATGGTGTCAATGTGGATGTGTATGTCTGTGGATGTGTTTGTGTGTGTGCAGGGGAGAATAGACTAGAATGGGTATCTTGGAAGAGTGCAGCCAGCTAGATAATAAAGAAGTACTACATACTGCAATTCTCTGAGTATATCTCAAAAGAAAGAAAAGCCCAAGAACCTACAGATTACCATGAATTACTTAACACACACATTTATTTATACTGTTGCATCACAGATAGAAAATAGATTTGATGACATATTACCCCAGCCCAGTTAAGGATATAAATATATAGGACAAAACTAGCTATGGCTGAGCCTATCCAGAGTTAATAAAGAAAAAAATATGGCTAATCTTGTCAGCTCTTCCCATCTTTCAAGTCTACTAGAAGAGGGTTTAGGTAAAAATGCAAATTACTTTCTTATCCACATTTAATTACTACTTACTGTTTCAATCCCCATAGCTCTCATCTGGTCTGCCCTTTTTTCCATGACAGATAAAAATTTCTTGGGATCTGACAAAGCATCCACAATATCTAAGGGAAATTAAAACACATAGTCAAAATAATTACTTCTAACTTCAGGTTCTTCCACAATTTTATCATAGACATTTCTACAGGGAGATTGTAAGATATTACCCACCATGGGTTAATAATTTTGGAAAATCACTGTGGACTTCAGAAGAGATGCAGAAATATGTGCTATTCCCATGCCATCAAGGACTTCACAGTGGTTCCCAACCTTTGGGCCTCCAGGTATTTTGGACTTCAGCTCCCACAATTCCTAACAGCTGGTAAGATGGCTGGGATTTCTGGGAGCTGAAGTCCAAAACACGTGAAGGCCCAAAGGTTGGGAACCACTGGGATGTGACAGTTCCAGAGAAAAAGGCAGTAGGGGAAAAATGAAAATTACTTTCTTATCCACATTTAATTACTACTTACTGGTTCAATCCCCAGAATTCTCCAGAAGTTTCTTGGCTCCTGGAGAACTTAGAACAATCCCTGCCTCTAGACTACTGATCAAGTCCTCCTCTCGTCCTCTACTTTAGAAATGTATGTGTATGTACAAGTCTTGGAACTATAACTGCACCTTTGAAAGCTCTGTTCTGGGCCTATTATTTTGCTTAGTTTGCAACAATACTTTCAGATCCTCTCAGTGGCAAAGTAATAGAAGTGGATGGTATTGTTTCACCCATTCACCTTTTTGGCAAAAGATGTGTCTACATCTCAGTGCTTGGGAAAGAGTTAGCGATAGACTATTTAGGGTCATTGATAGTTGAAAATGCTCTAGGAATAATTTTCTTTGGCATTTATTTAAGATGGGAGGTGGATCTTTCATTTGAAACTGGGTCTCACAAACACATATATTCTTGAATCCTAAGTGAATTGTATGTAAATGTTGCTAAAATCCATGAGATTTAAGAGCACAAGTAGTATGTTTGGTCATAAGAATTCCAAAATTCGAATACTGAAGCAATATCTTAAGTTACTCATGAGTACCATTTTATGCTGGTTGCAATGGGACCTTGAAATTTCCTTGGTTGCTTTTGGAACTATCACAACTCTTAACTCTTAATTTTTAAACTTCCCATGACACTCTGATTACTGGTCAGTCTAAAAGTAAAATACATAAATGCATTTATTTATGCATAAGAAATGTTTATCTTTCATCTTCAGGAATATGGAGAATGTTTCATCTGCAATCTTAATTTTTTTCATAATAACTCCTTAGAGTTAAAAAGAATCATTCAAATGTTTACCTCCAAACCCATCCGGTACATATGTTTTGAGTACGATGTTGCAGAAGATTGTTGGCAGAGATAATGGCTTGTTGCCTTCATTTCGAAGAGAAATGTGTCTGTAACCTGCTTGAAGACCATCTAGAGGCAATATCCTTTGGCCAATCAGTTTGTTGTTGTCGTCATAAACGGCTATTCTCAAGACTGCAAGATCTGGTAGGATAACCTAAGAAATCCAAGAACAAAATGGCAATTGATATTCACAATACAATAGATTCAGTAGGGGAAGGAATCCAGGAACCATATCCTTGGCTGGTTTTTAACAGTGTCATGCCTGGGAAGTACTATCTGGTTATATCTCTACAACAATATTAAAATCCATTCCAGGAGTATATTTAACACACTTTATATTAGTTTTATCTAAAACCTACAACAGATAGTAAATGATCACAAAGAAATTAGCCCATCAGAAAAACTGCTAAGTTACAGTTAATTGCTCGAGGATTTGGTAATATATTTCTGCTGGTAGGGTAGCAAAATACAATGGGAATGCCCAATCTCAGTCCTCGTCCACATGCATCCTTGAAACTCTCCAGAGCTGCTTTTACAGTGTTATGGTGGATTCAGACATGGAATTCTAATTCTAAAAACTGAAACTAAAAAAATTTGGGGGAAAAAAGCTAATACGTCAAAAGAAGTCAGCAAACATGAAATGTTTACTTTCCTGAAACTGACAGTAATTTTCCAAATTGGAATTTATTTTAGCTGGACAATTGCTGTCCACATTCACATTTTATACATTATTGATATAATGTTGCTTTCTATCCACTCTATTCCTAGTAATATCTACATTCTCTATATATGCAGTACAGTTGGAATGCACACAATGGTGGCAACATAACCTGTCATGAATGAACACCTTTCTCTCCTTCTCATATATTTCATAAATACACTAGATAAAATAATCCTGCTGGAACTTTATATCAGAAAGGGTATTTTTCTGATTATCATATAGTGACTAAATGGATGAGGCCACTTTTCAGAAGTTTGATTCTTGATGGTACTTAGAAAACTAATCTCACCACTGCAGAAATAGTTAGTACTTCCCCTCCCCACCCTTGAAAAAGAGGAAAGTGAAGTGGAAGATCTATTCTTCCTTCTCTACAAACAAATATAACTAACAAAAGCAATCCTGGTATCTTAATAGAACATTCACTAAAAAGTTAAATACAATTTCACCATTCTCAGCACTCAAGAGAACAAGGATCTAAAAGATGTGAACAGGGAAATCTCCCAAGTTCCTATTTTAGAGGACAGCCCCACAAAACCGATCATTCAAAGACCTTCAGCAGCATATTCTGTTCTCCCACCATCACTGTGAATGAAAATGTATGGAAAATGGAAGGAAAAAGGAAGAGGGGCTGACCAGGGGCAAGATGGATGGATGGTATCCTTGAAGTGACTGGATTGACCTTGAAAGAGCTGGGGATGGTGATGACCAACAGGGAGCTCTGGCATGGACTATTCCATGAAGTCATGAAGAGTTGGAAACGACTGAACAAATGAACAACAATAACATGGAAAGTCTATATTGATCTGTTTCAGTTGGAAGAGAAGAATATTTTATGTTGAAGTGTATGTGAGAGCAATACCATCCCGGGTGGAAGAGTTCCACCTCTCTACAATATCTTTGCAGTATCTTCCTTCCACAAACTGCATCTGCAAAGGCATACGAATCAAATTTGCGTTGACCACAAATGCGTGAATAGGCAATAAACTGTTGCACATATCTTACTCATAAAGATATTGTGTTGAAAAGCTGCCCAAGGTTGCTATTTCATTGGTAGGGTGTGTTACAATGTTTTATAGATTGGGACGGCTGCCCTCTCTTTCATATCTTGCAATAAGGCAATATATTAGCATATTGGATCTGGATAATCTTTTCTTCCACTAATAAAAAATAAAGAGCACTTCCTTTTTTTGATATGGAACTTGTCATCAATGCAAAAAAAAAAGTAGGCCCTTCAGATGTCATTGTGTCATACTTTTTCTCTTTGCTGTATACATTTTGGAAAGAATGAAGATATGATAATGTCTTAAGATGTGTAGAAGACAGAGTATACTACAGAGTATACTATCAGGGCTCTTGCCCTGATGAAAGATGTAAATAATTTTGTTACCTAATGAAGACTCTGTTTTAACACTACAGAAACAGTCTTGGAAAGATTGATTTAAATAATCTTCACTAAGTTTGATTGAATGTTCTCAAAGGACTTGCAAGAATTCCTAGAGATTTAGCATAACTAATCGATGGAAGATGCAATTGCTCTCTGATGACAGGCTATTCAAAAGAACCATATGTATCCGTGTGGTGCCAGAAGAACAGCTCTGTTCTTTCCTTCCCAAGCATTTTCACTCTCTAGGAAATTGAAACAAAATGTATATATGTATAGTATGGGCCATTTGGCTATGGGAATCTTTGGATCCTTTGACACTAAGAATGTGATAATTTTATAGCTCAACCAAGATGCAAAAAGGAGCCGGAAGAGGAAAAATAATCTATTCCAACTACAATTGATGAAAATATTTCTAAGTACAAAGATCACATGTTGATGATTAGTCTAGTCTGTACTGGCATCAAAGCTAGTCTGTGTTCAAATACTGTATATAAATATGATTTCTTTCACTGGAAGATTTGCATACCTTCATTTTACAGGGTTTCACATATTGCTTTGTCTTAATGATCAAAGTGTTTTTCCCCAAGACATTGTCTGTCCTTACCATTAAATCAGATATTACAGGACAAACAATTCTTGAGAACAAGATGAATGGGTCTCAATTTTGACTTAGCAGTTCTAGCTAGCATTATACTTATCCACTTGATTTCTGATAATTGTTGATTGTGAAGAAAATTGCAAGGCTCTATAAACCAGGAGATAAGAAGCCATGCGATTAGGAAGAATCTTTGAGAAAGATGGTTACCTGTCTGTTTGGATATGATAAACCCAGTCTTCATTATTGAGGGAAAGGAGATTTGTTATTAAAAGGAGAATGCCAATTCCTGTTGTCTATCCCAAATGAGTAGAATCTGTGGGAAGAGCACTGATCTATTCCTTCCCCAGATCATGCGGGGAGGATTTCCAGGCTGGCTTGTAAATGAAAGTTATTTTAAACTTCTATGCTACTACGATGAATGTGACTTCGTGCACATTTGTGTGCAACTGCAAGCTACTATCTTTTAATTATCAAGGCTACATGAATGGCATTCCTGAAGAGACAAATGCATTAAATGGTAACAGATCCTTCAGTCTTTTGAACAGCAGTAGAGGTAGAGCAAAACTATAACTCCTTTCTATGCAACTAGATTGTATGACCAATTATAAAGACTAAAAATATATATCTCCAGATATTTCAAATTACACCCCATCAATAAAATATAAAGGATCAGAAAATGAAAATCATGAATACTAGTGTTAGTCAGTACACCTATATTCATACACTTATTTAACAACAACATTTTAAAGGTTCAGGAAGAAAGCAGCTGGGCAATGGTCTTTTCAAAATCTAAAAATATATGTTTTAAGGCACCATGGAGGTGCAATTGTAAGCTGCCTTGAGTCCCCCTTGGGGTAGAGAAAGGCAGGATATAAATAAGGTAAATAAATTTTTTAAATGGGTTTGCTTTGTTTGTTTGTTTTAAAATCTGTCTTATGTCTGACAACAGTAATGTATGATAGCTGGTAATGGAAAAATAAGATAATGAAGATTTCTGATTGAAAACGCCCAAGTCATAGACCTTAAGATGTTGGGTTTGTTTAGTTCTTAAAACAGAGTGAGATGGCTCTCATTGTAGGCCACCCACTGAGTGTTATATGCAATTGTGTTAATGACAGTCTAGACCACTGCTTGAACCATTGCAATCTTCACTGGCTTTCATGAGATCAAGCTGTTAGTTAATCCAACTTCATTTCCATTTATTTTCTTAGTTATAAAACTAATGACTCATTCAAAAATATAGAGACCAGCATGCATCATTAAGTACAATGAGACTGACTGAATGTACACATTAAAAATATAGTATTGTGAGTTACCAATACCTCACAGTGGAATGACAACATATAATATGCATTACAACAGTAGTTCTCAAAAAGAACAGGAGGACAATAAAACACAACTCACACATTACCTGCTAAGAGTTTGCATGATTTTTGTACCCTAATGAGAGGTTTCATGAAGCCAAAACCTACTTCTTCACAAGTCTTTATAGTTTACAAGCTATAGGACTCTTGTCTGATTGGTATTTTATACTATCTTCCAAAACTATCAAAGATCAAATATCTGTCATGTGAAATGTTTGCCAAACTAGGACATTGCCCAAACTTTGGCATTACCCTATGGGCAAAATTTAAAAAAGGCAGGGTTATTAGGCAAAAAGAGCCAAGGAGCAGGTAATCATTCTGTATTCTGGACAACAGAACAAGTGAAAGATAAGAGACACTGTCAAAGACGGCACCATTAACGCACATACTTTGGATGAAACTCCAGTTGACTAAAAAATAAAAATAGAATGGAATTTTTCAAAATTATAGACACCACAGATTACAACCAAGAGTGAATTTACATATGTAGCTCCCTCTGCAGTATTTCTGTTGTGAACTATTGTATGCATGTACCAAGTATGATACAATTTTCATCTGTACATTTCTCCCATCAAAGTTTACTCAGAATATGGCAGGAATGAGATGGTAGATTCCTGAAGCTTTGTCTCTAATAAGAGAGACTTGCACAATTTTAAACAGCAAAATAGAAAACCAAGTTGAAACCAGAAAGAAGGAAAAAGGATGAGAAGTTCCAAAAGCACTGAAAACTCTCAAAATCCTTGAGTTCATCTGGTGCAAAATAGGTCTTCAGACTGAATCTCTGCTAACAGAATTGCAAAGAAGGACGCCATCAGTTAAAATGCCCTTTTTTGCCTTTTTTCATCTGCCTTTTTTCATTTGGTATAAGCACCCATATATGGCCTTCTAATGGGCGTTAAGATCTACCTACGTGAATACAGGAAGACAGTATATTTCTGTTAACTGGCATCAAACACAGACTTCGAAGGGTAAAACCAGCACCCAAAACCATTGAGGATAGCAAACTATTGGCATAATGTGGTTGTACTGACCAGTTCTAGGCAGCAGCCAAACCATTTTTTTTTGCTAAGCATTGATGTTTCTGGGGCATTTTTTTAAAAAAAACAGCCCTTCATTATTCATGCTCAAATAGCCGTGGGTTCCTGCACATTTTGTATGATAGGTATATCTGTCCTGGTAGAGCTGCAGTTGGGTACCAACCTAGGCTGATAACAGCCACTCTGTTGAACTGATAAAAAGCACTTTTCACAGTTGGCCATGGTTCTAGTGACAATGAGAAACATAGGAGTACTGCTAAATTATTAACCCAATCCTTCAGGGGAAATGTTGCTTTTTCTGAAAGAGAGACTGAACAATTGTCATGGGCCCAGTATTGGTCTCATTTGGGTTTTTTTTCATGTTTTTATTTCGAACCATTCATTTGGATGGCACAAAATGGTACACACACCCTCCTGTTCGGAAAAAGTGGTGAAATGAAAGGTAAGTAGGAATGGTAACTGTTTGGTTGGTCGATTTTTGGCGCAAGGCATGCTCAGCTGTAGGGCCTGCCACTGGGCCTACAGCTGAGCACGCTAGGTGCTCGATGCTTGGCTGTAGGCCCTGGCAGGGCCCAGATCTGTGTGTGCCAGGTGCTCGGTGAACTTTACTGTAGGCCCCGATGCTTTGCCATCAATGGGCCAAAAATATTCATTTTTTTCCAGACCTTGGATGGAAAAGCTCATTTGGAAAAGTGCCTTTTTTGGGAGAGGTGCTCGAAAATGAAAACGAGGCCTTACGAATGAAACAAACCAAAACGGATAGTGATTCTGTACGATGCACAAGACTACTTAACACCACTTAATTGGACAGTTGAATTGTCCACAACTATCTCAATTTTGTTTAGAATGAGTCTTGGTTAATTGGACCTCATTCTGTCAATTAACCTGACAAAGCAGTAGTTCAGAGCTTCAACAGCCTCATGTGTATTAGATGAAAAGGAGAGGCAGAGCTGTGTATTTTTTGCACTGGTGACATAACAGCCCGATATAATCACATAATCACTTCCCAGTGATTGCATTGAGTTTTTTTAAAAGATAAAATAGTAAAGGGTATTGAGCCATGGAGGAGAATTATAATTCCTAACACTACCATTTGGATTTGGCCATCTAATCAGCAACAAAACTGCTGCCAACACAAGACTTCCATCTACCAACTATGTCTGATAAAGTTGAACAAGGTCCATAACAACCAACAATGTGGCATTCTTTCTAAACTCCCCTGGCACAGGCTAATTGCATAGGAAAAGACAATTTCTTCTCCAAATCCAGAGCTGAAATTAGATGAAAATGGATAACGTTCTCCTTTTGAGGTTCAAAAACAGTAACACCTCAACCACCAGCCATATATAGCCTGAAGTGTACCTCTACTGCAACAGGATGGTACAACCAAATTTTGTTGCATACTTGATCTAGGCTAAATTTTTAAAACGCACTTTATTGCTATAGTGTTGTACCATCTCATTTTTTTCTGCACAGAAATACTGCAGTTTTCAATAACTAGGAAGAGAACATTTCGTAAAAGTGTCATATGTAAGCTCACTCTGGGAAGCAATCTTTAAAAATATATTTACTGAAAGGTGTCTACTACTTTTTGGGTGAAAGAGAGAGAGAAAGAGAGGTAAAAAAAGTACATGACGCACACAGGACGAGGGTGCCAGCCTCAGAAGTGGAGGCAGCGCCCTCCTGACTTAATCCATGTAATGACATTGACCTTAGCTTTGGATGCAGCATCTCACCTGCCCTCTTGGCTGAAGGAACAGTGCAAGATAGCAGCCACTGCCAGGGCAGGGAAGGAGTTGTAATCTCCAATGTAGGTAGAGGATCACCAGCTGGAGCTCATTCTGAGCAGACTGCATACCTGGAACACAGGCATAGCCACGAACGAGGTGGGTTCCTCCAAGGGGGAGGAGGAGGAAGCAAGAAGAGGAAAAAGCCAAACAGAACAAAATAAAAATCATGTGACAACTACAGGAGTTCCTCTCTTCTTTTTTTAAAAAACACCCTAAGGTTAAATCAGCCTTAACTCATGACAAAAAGCGTACCACGGCGTGAGCCCTACGAAAGATTTGACCACATTAGTAGGACCCTAAATAACCTATGTTCAGGTAAGTGGTCATACTGAAGAAAAGTATTATCCATGCTAAGGCTGCAAAGCATAAGCACACTTTTGAAATGCATCATACCTTTCGGAATACAAATGATTCTTCATTGTAAACAGGATTCAAACCATTGTTCATCACCATCCGCGTTCGGAATTCTTTACGTATAGTGTCGGTGGGAAGGCCATACATATCCACTTCTACGTAAGTACCAATTTTTTTGTCTGATAAGAACTGTCCCGATATTACCTTTAAACAAAAGTATAAAAAAGAACCATAGACGAAAAGTAAAGCACACTGAGTGGACAGCAAACACATACCATTTTATGGGGCAAAGTGGAAAATGGAGCAGGAAAATAGCTTAATGTGAGCATCTTGTGCTTCCCCTTTTCTATATTCAACAAGGGAAATTTTCATGCATTCTGAAAAGAAAATACCTCTACTCCTAGGGATGTGAATGGGGTTTCATTTAACTCTGCCTTTTCCTCTGTCACATTTTTCTTGCACATTTTATGTAGAAAATGATTGTCTACAGTATGAAGTCTCCACTATCTTTGGAGGCCTTCTATGGACCCAGGCATGTAGCCGGGGGGGGGGGGGGGGGGGGGGGGGGGGGGCGGCTGAAGCCATCTCATTCTGATGGTGGTCCACGAGAAGTCCTTACTGGTACATTATTTAAACTGTTATGTTTATTCATATCATGATCTGGTCACCATGCTCAATATATCCCATATGTATGGGGCTATTGGGGTAACGATACAAAAGGTTTGCTAGGGTAGACCCTCTTCCACTCAGACTCAGCCCCCCCGAACCAAACTCAGCCCCCCCTGAAACAAAATCCTGGCTACGGGCCTGGATGGACCTTATCACATTCACCACACACTGTGGCAAACTATGGGGACCTGGAAGGGGAAGTAGGGAACCTGTTGCCCCATGCCTGCATCACCTGATTTACCCTTGATCCCATCCCATGGAGGAAGCATCCACTTCCCGGTTTCCCCCCATTGTTGTAAATGCAACATGGGAAGCCTCCCGTGTTGCCATGGCATCGTCGGTTCTTCTCCCTTTTTGACAAGGAGCCCTGCCGGACATAGATGTACATCGTGGGATGGGCTCCATAGCAAAGGGGAGGGGAACTTTCATACAATGGGCAAATAAATTAACCCATATGATAAGGTCGTATGTGACTCCTTTCTGGAAAATCTAAGCCCATCCTCAAATATTCTGTGGGAGCATATACATACTATAGAATTAAGGCAGTTTGAGGCCAATTGAATTGCCACTCAATGCAGCAAAAATGGGATTTTTAGTTTTGAGAGGTTCCAGAAATGTCTGGTATTAAAGGCTAACGACCTTATAAAACTACAGTTCCTATATTTCCATAGTATTGAGCATGACAGTCAAAGTCATCTCAGAGTGCATTAATTCTGCAGTGTAAATGCACCACTAGTGCCTCCTCTCAGGAAAATCTGAGCCCATCCTCAAATATTCTGCAGTTCTATGCATGCCTATTCATAAGTCAAACCCATTGAGCTTGATAGAGATAAGTAGGAACCTGAAGATTCTTACTTGAAATTGTGTGATGTACTTTGAAAGAACAAGAAAGAAGGGGTCACAGCAAAACCCACTAAACATGAACATATAAAGCTATTTCATATTGAACTAAACTATGAAACCATGTAGTCTAATATAGCCACCTTTGCATGGCAAGAACAGTTCAAAGTTTCAGATCTTTCTTTCTTTCTACCTGAAATTCTTGTTAAAGTGCATATCAGGGTCTGTAGCTGATATGTATTGTATGTGAGGTTTGTTCTCTGACTCAGATATGTAACCCTTTGAAAGAAAGGAGGGGCGAGAATGTCTTTAAATTTACTGTTGATCAATGCATTCAGAGAGCCTGGCAATAAATTGAGGTTATTGCCTCCTTTTTCTGAAATGTCTATCACCTTGAACACTTAAAAGGCAAGCAGGCAGGCACAACATGGCAGTTTTAATTCTGGGAATACCTGAATTTAGGAGATCGAATTGAACTAATGCATGGTTTGTTTTTCAAGAATTTGGCATGTAACCACTCTTCCCCTCACACACACAGTTGAGATGGAGAAAATGTGAGTTTTAAAAATTCAGATGAAAAAGGAAGCAAAGCTAAAATTTCTCCTATCTGCAATTAAATTAACTCCATCACTTTTTGTCATGTACTGTATTTTTTGTAATTAAAATAGCTTATTTTGCATTGGGTCATGATACACATGGTGGTACATATGCTTCCTACCTGTACTGAACAAGTTGCTGCAATTACACCATCTACAGGAGTTTCAGAGAAAGGATCAAATGTCCGATCAGGTCGTCTCATAAAATCTGGTTTAAGAAGAAACCTTAAAATAAAAGACAACATTATTTTGATACAAGAAAGATCATAATGTTTCCAAAGTGGGCATCACCTTGGGGAGCTTGTGGGCGACAGGAGATAAATACTGGTAATAAATAAAAATAGTGAAAGAAAGAAATACTATTCTGTTTTAATTCTTTTCAGAAATACTAATTTGATTGAATTTCTTTTATTATCACTCTGAGATGCAATTTGTGTGGACTGGGATACATAAAATGGGCTATATATTGATTATAATGATCCTGAAAATCTATTGCACAGTTATTAGTTTTCAAGCCATACAATTTAGGATAAACATTCAAAATGACTGAATCAAACCCACTGGATCATGGAGAAAAAAAAATGACAACTAGTCCAAGTTATTTATATCATCCTTTAAGACATGTCTTTCCATAATCTGAACTCAGACATACACTCCATTTGTGAGATCTCCTTATAGAATACTAGGTCAACCTCCACATTTCAGCATCATATGCAATGTGCTGTATATTGGGCATCTATGTACCAAGTTTGGAAACTCCAGTATTTTCAAACATGACAACCAGATGGGATTATGGATATATCTAGCCTATTACAAATTTACTAAAATAACTGCATTGACTGTCAATTAGCTTCTAGGCAAAGTACAAGGCTATACATGGTTTAGGTCGAATTTTCCTGGAGGATCGCCTTCTCCCATGTAACCTGCCTTGTATACTTAAGTCCTCTTGGGGTGAGGTGGGTTGCTTACTCCAACCAGCCTGAACCCAGCTGGCAGATATCACCCAGGGGATCTTTCCATCGACCACCCCAAGACTGTGGAATGACCTGCCTGAAGAGCTCTGACAGGTAAATGAGCTGTTGGACTGTTGGAATCTCATCCACAATTAAAAATCTTTTCCAGCAGGCCTATCCAGTCAATTTTACACTATTAAATTTAAATGTTATTAGTATTGGTGTTTCAATCTTTGTTCTATATTTTTAATGCATGCATTTTATGTTTCTTTGTATTATATATTTTAACTATGTTTTACCCTGCTTTGTGCTATGAGGAGAGGTGTGTAGCAAATAAATTATTATATGGGTACAATGAACATGGATAATTAAATGAGAAGGAATGTGCATGCATGCATAAACAAAAGTGAAGCGAACTATTAATAACTTGTCTGCAATCTGTTCTTCTAAAATGTAATGGCTTAGATAAATCATACATAGATTTATACTTCAGTACACCTACTGTAGTCTGTCTTCTCTCAACATGGTATGTAGAGAATAAAATCTGTAGTTGTAGTTGTTGATGTTTTTATTGTTATTTTTAACCTTTTATATGTTGCCTTGATAAGGACTCAAGGCAGGTTACACATTAAAATTAATGACATCAAAAAGTGACAATTAAAACGGAATTAAGTTATTATTATCATTATCATATGCCTTCCTCCCCAAAAAGTGTCTAACAGCATATTTAAAACAATGCAAATTAAAAACTATACAAAGCCTTAATTAAATTATAATTATAAGATTTAAAAACAATTAAACAATTATAAAGTTTAAATATTAGACATCAAAATATTATTTTTTTAAAATAGCCCTACACGACATTAAAAGCCCTGTCCTACCCAGTTTCTAAAAGCCTGATGTCATATAATGTTTCACCTTGCTGAGGGAAGGAGACAAGGATGGGATCTTTCTGGCCTTTCTAGGGAGGGAGCACCAAAGACCTAGAGCCACCACTGAGAAGACTGTCTCCTAAATGAACCTGAGAAAGTGGTTGAACGGAGAGAAATACCTCCCCAGAGGACCAGAGAGCTCTAATGGATGAATAAGTGGAGCTACAGTCCTTCAAATAACCAGGATTTGAGTCACACAAGGCTTTATAGGTTTAAACCAGCACTTTAAATTGTGCCCAACAACAGACCGATAGCTGGTAGAGCTGTTGCAACAGCAGTTGAATGCTCCCTGTAGCCTGTCCTAGAACCTCATCATATTGGCTCCAGCTCCGTCCTAGGATGCTTCCAGTACAAAGTCCACCAGATCCCATCACATGATGCAGGACTACTTCCGGAGGGGCTCTGTCTTGGCTCTGTCCTGGAAGTGTCCTAGGATGGAGCCCTGAGAATACGGGAGCCTTCCTGTGTTATCGGGGGAAGCAAGGCAGTGACACTTTCCTCTGTGAGATGGGGAAGAAAATGATTTGGGGTGATGGTTTCCCTCGCTGCCTCAAGAATTTCTTATGCTGCCTGGCAAATCCCCTCACTGTCACCCATGTTAGGGACCTCCATGTGATGGAGTCTTAGAGCACATAGCTCTTTGGATTCTACTGAATGGTTTTGTGCTGAATCAGTGGTATGAGCCAGAAATCACTTTTTCCTTCTTTTATTGCCCCACCATAAACTTTCATTTAGATTTTAGCCTGGTTTTAGTCTAACTCACTTTGGGTTTTCTGTCACTGTCACTCTATATTAAAACAACAGATCAAAGGAGTTGTACAATTTAAAATAACACAGAAGCCTCTTACATTCTTTTCTGAAAAGCTCTCAGTTGTAAAAGCCTTCCTGAATAAAAACATTTCTGCCTCCTGATGGAAAGACATGAAAGGAAGGGCCAGCGTAGCATCTCCAGGGAGGGAGCTCCAGAGTCAAGGGACAGCTGCTGAGAAGTCATTTCTCATGTTTCCATAAAATGTACTTCTGAAGTTTGTGGGACTCAAAGAAGGCCTTCTCCTGCTGATCTCTGGGTCTGGACCATCTCATAGGTAGATATGTGTTCTATCGGATAGCCTAGACATCATAGCCAGCAGTTTGAACTCTGTCCAGAATTATGCCTGAGTGGTGGGAGGTGGACATAAACCTTAATCACCCAATCTTTCCTGTTGGCTCAGTTCCAATGCTGTAAATGAGCAGATTGGAAGAAAAGTGCCTGGGGCAATAGACCATGAAATATAAGGGATGGAGAGATGTTACATCCTCCAGCTGTTGATGAAAACCAGATTTCCTCCAATCACACTTTAAACATAAAGAAATGGGGTTGTTGTAATCATGAAGCTTATTGCCCTGAAACACTATTTTTTTTTTGCAACTGCTCCTTATCATAGTTAGAGCTTTTGTTGTCAATGGCCTAGTGCTGCCAATGGTCTAGTGAATCTACTAAAGAAATGAACATGTTTAATCAGTATTTTAAAACCCTCACCAGTGTTTAACGTTTCTAATCTTAATTTGCTGCAGAGTTAATGAGATCTTAACTCTTAACATAATCAAAACCAGAGTTTTGGGAGCTACACTAACCAACCAACCACAAATCTCCCCTAATGCCCCCCCCCTCCATTTTTAACATACTCAAAATGCTACTCAGACTTGTGAGAGGGCAGGAGGGCAATTCCAAAATTAGATGTGTGTGTGTATGGGGGTGGGATTTAAGTGTAGTGGAGATTTTACTTTATTTTCCATTTCATTTACTAGTTTTCCATTTTAATTTTCCCTCCTGGGACTATAAAGCCCCAAAACCACATATATCAATATATCAATGTTAAAAGCCAGCATACTTTTAATAATTAATAGAGGTAAAGGGGGCATTCCAAAATGTCCTTGGGGGTACATGCAACTCCATGGATGACCCTTTGCCAACTCTTAGCTTAACCTGAATACTTCAAGCTTCTATAGCATCCTGGTGTCAATTCTTGCATTTATAGAACACAGTAATACTCTTTCTTAGCTGCTTTCCCAACTTTATTACATGAAGTTGATAAACCAGAAGTTTAGCAGGACAGTGGCATCTGTTGCCAGTAGGTATCACGTGACATTGTGTGTGTCCACTTTTCCTTCCCTCCATTATTGTAGCATTCCATTCCATTGCACTCCTTTCCAGTCTATTAATGACTTTCCATACCACTAGCTTCCCACTGCTGACTTCTATGCAATAGGTCCTTTATGGAGGTCATGTGGTGTCAATGGTTGCGAATCTCCTCCTTCGTCCCCCTCACTATTCCCAGTCAGGCTGTTTTTCTTCCCTTCCCCAATTTTGCATTTTTTCTATTCTATTTTTGGTACTGCCAAAATTGCAAAATTGCAGTAAAAATAAAATTTCAAAAGACGTGGTAGGTGGAGCATGGGAGAAATAATAATAATAATCATCATCATCATCATCATCATCATCATCATCATCATCATCATCATCATATTTATACCCCACCACCATCTCCCTGAAGGGACTCGGGGTGGCTAACATGAGGCCAAGCCCAAGCATTATAATAAGGCAGAAACTAGATAGTGGGACTACAGAGTGGCATAGCAGCACCACTGTACTAATGCACAGAAGTGTAATATTTAATGCTCTAAAACTAGTATGTTTCCATTCCCCATACTTATATGGTTATGGCGAAACTGCAGACTGATATGATAAAGTTTAAAATGTACTTAGGCCCTTGTTTTTCTGAACTTTCTTCCATAAAACATAAAAGAGAACCTAAGCCTTAAACACTACTCTTCATATGCAGCAGATAATTAAAAGTGACAGACTTCTCCATAATGACAGTTTAAATAGTTACTCACCCGCATGACCCATTATATTCAAATTTTCCCTGATTCAACTGCATTGCTAAATCTGTCAGGAGACAAAAATAGTTTAATGTTTCATTCCTGAGTAACACTTGCTGCATCTGATCAGCCTTCTTAATCTAAGGGGAATATTTGTCCTGGGCAGCCACTTTAACTAAAATCCAATTCCTGTGTATTGTGTGAAAATGCTTACTCTCCCATCTACAAATGTGTAATCTTGCTCAGATTAAAATTGCTTTTCAAATGAAAAATTGATTTCTATACTCTTTCATATTATGGCACTTGTCAAAATATCAAAATGATGTGCATCTTGTGAACTGGCTAGTTTATGTTTCTGTGATTCTACTGGTTCCTATTAGATTTTAGTTGAACCTCTTTAGATCAAAAAGTTGAATGTATAGAAGGCCATTGGCAAAATCATTTTTGCTCATCCTCTCTTTTCAAATGACAGATGGATGCAATTAACACATCAGTTGTAACCTCATATACATGCCCTGGATCAGGCATGGGGAGGAGGAATGATCCGAACAGTTTCAGCTTATTTTAATATTGGCCCATTATCACTGCCAAGTTGTACAGGCCTAGCATAGAGAATACTGCCAAGGAAATCAGTGTCACTCATGATTTGCATAATAGCACTTATTTGAAGATAACATCATGATGACTAATTTTATTCTGGAGTATAATATCCCAAACCTGTATTTCATCGGATCTAGCTTTAAAGAAAAATCTTTTAATAATATAGACATTTCCAGCTAAAGAACAGTTCAAAATGCAGAGCTATCCAGAAAACCTTGGTTCTTTTCATGGATGTGTGGTGAACTTCTCCCTTAATTCAACGATTTTGACATGAGCTGTGTCCAAGAAATGTGTACAATTACGACCCTAAAGGTTGGAATTGATCCAGTAACACCACTATTTCTAGGATCCAATGAACCTATTCTGCCTAAAGAGCAAATTGCCTTTTTTCTGCCTAATGGAAAGATTAGAAATAGCATGCAGTAGATAGGTTCAGTAAAATCTATTATTGGAAAGAGACTCTGATCACTAGTTCTTAAAGAAAAAATGACAAATGTAGGCAATGCAGAGTTATGGAAAAAGTGAAGAATTTCCCAACTTATTGATTAATCTAACTATAATAATAGTTGCCACTGTCAATGTGTCTCACATGGTAACTTAAGGAATGATTTACTGTATATATTCATATATAAGTCTAGAAATTTTAGTCAAAACACCAACCCAAACATCAGCATAGACAATGGATCAGTATTGTACCATAATTCTAATTTCTTAAAAAGAACCATTACTGAGTACTGTAGCAAAACAGAACAGCTTAATCCATCCCAGGAAAACCTAAAAGAAGCACCCCCACTTTCTATTCTATCTCTGCAATGCCACTTCTGGATTTTATGAGAACCTGGATGGGAAAATAGTAGCAGTAGTCATAGGCAGCTGGCTTCCTCAGACAGCATTGGCAATTTTCTCTCTTTACAAAATGACCTTTGTCTTATGACCTCATCACAAAGGCTGTCAGAATCATCCAAGTCCCCATCCCATGAGGGGAAGCATCAACTGCTCAGCTTCTCTCCATTGTTCCTGGCACAACAAGGGAAGCCTTCCTTTTAAACATAGAGCTCCACCGGAAGTAGCTGTGCATTGTGAAATGGGAGCCTGCGGGCTCCATGCTTCAAAGGAAGGCGAAGTAGAACATGCCACCAAATTCACCCCCATACATCAAACTCTGTAAACCTGCCCTCAACTGTCAGGGGTTGTCTTATATGCTGGAGTACCATTATATGTGGGGGTCATCTTATATGCAGGAGCAGTCTTATACGCCGGGTGTTGTCTTATAGAGCGGGTGCTGAAACTTCCAATCTGGATTGGAGAACCTGTGGTTGCTGCATATTGTGGGGGGAGCTCAAAAATAGCAGCGGCCGCGTCCCTGCCATTGCAGCGACTGTATGAAAGCATTAAGGGTGACACTGTACAAGTATGGTAGAAGAAAATCCATTCATCAGGATTCGTGGGCTTAATGTGGTCCTGATGGTGAGGTGAAGGGGCGCCTCACCTGGAAGGTGTAAGTGAAGGGCGGAGCAAGATGCAGGCATCCGGGGTGTCCCGGGGTATGGAAAAAAGAGATAGAGTGGCTCTGGGCCCAGAAAAACACAACTCTTTTACCTGTCTGGCCCGCCCTTGTATCCTATTACCATACCTCCTCCTCTGCCTCTCAGATCTCACTCCTGAAGACTGCAGTGAAGTGGTGCAGGTGCATGTGCGAGATCTGAGAGGCAGAGAAGGAGGTACAGTAATAGGAAAATTACCATATTGAAATCAAATCTGATGCTTTTTAATTTTTTATTTGGTGTGTGTTGGAAGAGGGGTAGTCTTATACGACGAGTATATCCCAAACTCTATATTTTAACTGGAAAAGTTGGGGGTCGTCTTATACGCCCAGTCGTCTTATATGCCATAAAATATGGCATATACAGGATTTTGGCTGCTAAGTACTGTAAATGATCTGTGTGATATCAAATATTGCATTTCGTTTTCTGTTTCTTGTTATGCTGGTTGTCTTCATTTCTTATGTTTCTTCTTTTGATTTTTCATTCTTTGTAACTTTATAAAACTAGATTTCAAAAAGAGATTTTTGAAAATTGTAGAAATATATTTGCCTTGCCCCGGTATCTGCTTTTTTGTCATCACCCCTGCAAGGAGCCCCCAGTGGCGCAGTGGGTTAAACCCCTGTGCCGGCAGGACTGAAGACCGACAGGCCACAGGTTCAAATCCAGGGAGAAGCGGATGAGCTCCCTCTATCAGCTCCAGCTCCTCATGTGGAGACATGAGAGAAGCCTCCCACAAGGATGAAAAAACATCAATTCATCCGGGCGCCCCCTGGGCAACGTCCTTGCAGACGGCCAATTCTGTCACACCAGAAGCGACTTGCAGTTTCTCAAGTCGTTCCTGACACGACAAAAGAAAAAATCACCCCTGCAGATTGTTCAAGCTGCTATGGATGGGGAGGGGAGGAGATGGGAAAGATTGCTGAAAAAAGCTTTCCTAGCTCTAAGAAAGGAAAGCATAAACAGCAGTGTGCTTTTCAGCTCCCCTTCTTCATACTGTCCTTCTTTTCAATATTTCCAAGAAATGTGTATTATTTTTTCCAAAGAGGCAGCTTATTTTAAGAGGAGGTTTTTGTGAATGCATTAGATATGCTTACTCCTGTTTCTACTACTATGTTGATTAACTTTCTAATGTAAAAAGGCACACTGAAACTTCTCTAGCTTTTGGCTTTCTTGCTTATAATCTTAGTGCGGACCTGATCTGACACACACCCTCATATTTAGCCATGCAACCAAATCCTCCAATAATGCCAAGAGCAAAAATAATGACATCTGGTGGAGAGTTACTGTCTGTACTGCTTTTCTTTTCTTTTTCTTTTTTTGAAATCAGATGAAGTGAACATATCCGTCTACCTGGAGTCTGATAGTTGAGCGAGACCATCTGGCATCCAGCGTTCCAGAAAATTTGAGGCATATAATTGCTGGAATCCACTCTGCCTCCCTTTGGGTAAATTCGACTCATTTGACGTTTATTATAGCTGTGTTATTTGTCAAAGAAAATGGAATAACCAAGTGACATGCATAGACATAATGATCATTTGTTCACATCTTTATGGTTTTTTTACTCCCAAATGTTCCAGCTGATGAAGCATAGGGTCTTTATTTAGGTAACAAATCCCCTCCCCCAGTGGTAACACCCCTTTATAAAGCTCTCTATAAAAGGATACTTCACGAACTCAATTGCGTGTGTTTTCAAATAACCTAGACCAACCGACTCATTAAAAGAAGACATATTGTAGTGAATGTTGCGTTCTAGGAAGAAAATAGTAAAAACTCTGTTGTAAAACATTGGGTTCAACATTAGTAGCATATCAAAGCTCACAATAAATGTAGTTAAACTTCTGAAGAGGAGTTCAGAGACTCAATAAACTAGAGACACAGTATAAAAATCCAAAATAAGTGAAACAAAAACCATATTCATTTCATGTTTGTCTATCTACTTCTCTGATACAATGCCTTTTCAAATTACTGAGAAGCAGAAGCATGAATTCACCATGTCAAGAGATAAAATAGCAACAGCAATACAGGTGTCTGAAAATGAATCTAAAATATTTACAATAAACAAATTTCACTGAGCAGAGAACAGTGGACTAACTAAAGGTGTATGTATATGTCCATACTATGTAAAAACAATTCTTAGCATTGCTGTGACAGGGATACAATTTGTAATTTGGTGCCTCCATGTGGACAAAGGATGAAATGAAACATTACGAAAAATATGAAGGAAATTCCATATTTGAGATGAATAATAATAATAAGCTGGAAAATGTATTTTATATTAATTAAACTTTTTAGTTACCTTCTGCTACATTGAAACCTTGAAATTTAACAGGTTGGGCATAGTTGATCAACGCTGATAAGTATGGATGTATATTAGTTGTGGCACCTACATATTTGTAAGAAGCCATCCATGCCTGCTCATCCTCTGCAGTTATTACCCCCTGAAAGCACATTCAGACAAAGAAATACATCAGAAACAGCACTTTTTTTGTCCAAATTGGAATGAAACTCAAAGAGGATTTGGTCAGAATTTAAAGTAGTGAGAATTCATGGGAAATGAGACAGAAGAGGCCTATTCCATCACCAGCACATGCACATAATGCTTACATATTTTGAAGAAAGTCATGTTGGGTGTCTGAGTAAATCTGTGGTTTTAGAGAATTTTAATATCATGATTACTGAGTAGTATGCATCACGATCAGTTATTTCAAAAGCAATTTAATTAGCAGGAGGAGGTTCCAGTACAACAGAGTTTACTTTCTACATTTTATAAGCTTTCAAAAGACAAGTTTAGTCAACAAGTCAAGAGAGAGTCAAGGGTATCAAGGGATTAACTGGAGGAATACAGTATTCCAAAGTTTGATGTACACAACATTCAACTTGATTAGGTCTACAAACAGGATCTTATATATAGAACAGTGTGTTCTGTGCTCTCTACTTAGTCTTAGTGTGTATTTTTAATTTCCTGTCTTATGATCTTAAAATAGTAGACACCTAATATTAACTGCATTAATGCTAATCTTATTTTTTCTGTGTGTGTCTTTACGTTGTTTCTGACTTAAGGTGACTCTAAGGTGAACCCATCATGGGGTTTTCTTCTCAAGATTTGTTCAGAGGGGGATTGCTTTTGCCTTCCTCTGAGGTTGAGCAATTGTGACTAGCTAAAGACTGCCCATTGCCAAGAGGGGATTTGAATAATGATCCTGGTTCAATGCTCAAACAATGGCACAAACCTTAACGTGTTTTTAATGTTCCCTCTTACAATGCAGGTTGATCAGACATATATTTCTTGGGAATTACTGCCCCACTTGTTATAGAAATAAAATGTCTGCCTGACACATTATCTTATTAAATGCAGAACCCTGACTTGGAATACCATCTACTCCTCTGTAATGCCTCCTGTAGATTTGCCACACCTACTAATGGCCATCTACAAAGATGAATGCAAAGCAGCTGCCAAAATTATCACCTTGTCCTTTGGAGATAAAATATTTCTCTCACTCTCATGCCAGCAAAGGCCTAAAGAACCATAGTTGGCTCTTCAAACCTAACATGTTTGACGAATGGGAGAGGAAAGGGAGAGAAGAAGGAGACAGAGCTGCTTTCAGGAATGGTACTACCCAGTACTGCTCTATGTTACAGCAAAATAGGATGGGTTTTTTTGTTTCTAGGACCTTGTCACACGGCCAAAAAGCCCTGTCCTGGGATGCTGCTGAGATGCAACCAAGATGGAACCCATCAGAGACCAGCACATGACACGGGGCTGCTTCTGAAGGGGCTCCATCCTGACTCTGTGGACACTGTGTCTCTGCAGCATGCTTAGACACATCCATGAGAACACAGGTGACTACTTGTGTTCTCATAGAGTAAGCTGGAGACAGCACAGGCTCAAGCTGGGGACAGATGGTTTTTCACATGTAATGATACGAGGGGCAAATGCAGGGTTACCCCACTGCCTGAAAGATTCACCCTGCTGCCCTATGGATGCCCTTGCTTTCCCCCAGCTTAAGGACCTCCATGCGATGAGATCCCTAGTCCCTCAAGTGCCAGCAGGATACTTCTTCCTTGCCCTTCTGGACAGACAAAAGAACAAAGATGACTCATTTTAGGCGAAAATAAAACAGGCTTCAAAAAATCACAGGCTCTTTCAAGAACTCTAATGTAAAAGAGTCATGGCCCCTTTCTATGGTGGTGCCAATAATACATCACACTTTCTCCTCCATGAGGGAACCATTGTCTACTTTTTAATACTTGTGACAGGTGACAGATGGTATAAAGCAAGAAAAACGTAGTCTGTGGGCATCATGCAGCTTTTGTGGCTCAGGTCCAGAGTCTCCAGAGGAAAAACAAAAACAAAATAAAATATTATTTTCCTCCCTACTCATTCCCCTCACAAATGCCCTTTTTGGAATATAAGGAAAGTTTTAATCATGTTTTTGCATCTTTGGGTTATCTTAGATCCAGGAGATACTTTTTCCCCAAATCAAAAAGTTCTCTCTCCCATGACTAAAATGGCCATGCAAGACCAAAAACATGGGCAAAGTGCCTTACAGTGCATTCGGGAACATTTTAAAAACATTTTGGGTCCTTCAAGGTGTCTTGGGGGTTTTCCAACACCTGCCCAACTCTTACTGTAGAAGGGGAGAAGAAAGAATAACTGCTCAGCATTTGGTAATTCAAGCTCGAATAGATCTGTTATATTGAGGGATATAACTTTCAAGTCTCATACACACATTGGTTACATCTAAAGAACCATAACCTACCCTTACTGCTGTTCTCACATTCTTGCACAAGAATGTGCCAAACTATTGCTATAATGAACAAATTATTCAGGAAGCTTCAAGGCATTGTTCATCAAGGATTTCCTCAATCTGTGCAGGCAGAAGAATGTTCCGAGATTTCATTGTCGTTTTTTTTCATGTGACTCACAGGCAGAAAACAGTCCTCCAAAGAAACAATCTGCACTGCAAGGGTAATTCTGGATCCGACCTGCTGCCATCTAAATGATAGTTACTGGTCAAAAAATGGAGGATCCTTTATCAGCTCCAACTACTCAATTTGTGTTCCAGGAGCACCGCAAATCTTGGAAGTTTTTGTTTTTCTAATTGGCATCTGGCTATTCAGTGGTTCACAACCTTTGGACCTCCAGGTGTTTTGGATTTCAACTTCAAGAAATCCCAGCCAGCTCCCACAGCTGTTGGAAACTGTGGGAGCAGAAGTCCAAAACACCTAGAGGCCCAAAGACTGGGAACCACTGCATAATGATTAAATACAAAAAGACCCCTTGACTACTTTTGAGATAGTTTCTCCCTCCATCCCTTCTTCTCTGCATATACCAGGTCTTATCCAATAAAATATTCATCATAATGGACTCTTTCTCTGTCATTTCTATTCAAAAGGCTGGAATTTCCATATGAACCTGTAAGTAGATAATAGACATCTGCGTAAAAGTCAAAAGTTATTAAATGATCTACAATAAGTTTGCATCATATATTTGAAGAAGGTCTGCAAGTATGTGATGCTTCCAGGATGAGGGAAGAATAAATGGGAGGCCACAACTCAGACTGAAGTCTGTTTTGAAACCTTTTCTCCTCTAAGTAAGAAAAATATGGAAATAAAAAAAAAACCTTTCAAATTTGATGCCATGTTTTCCTTGCTATTTTCCTTAATCGGCTACCATAGTAAGGTATAGAAAGAATATTACTGGATATTTGAAAAAATGATTGAAAAATGGGTTTCTCACATGTTGGTAATCCTGATAAAAATAACAGAGCCACAAGAGTCCTCAAAGTACTCATATATACATATGTGCATGCATGCATACATAGAAAAAGCAGGAATTTATGTACATGGAATAACATTTCTGTATCAAAAACAAAGTTCCTCTGTGAAAGCATGATTTATTTGTAGAAAATGCTGCTTTCCATCTAGCGAACTTCTTTTCTGAATACTGAATGCTATTTTCTACACACACAAAAGCATATTTTGTTTTGCACAGAGCAAGTCCTAAATTTCAAATAGTTTTCATACACCTGACAGATTTTGAAGACTTTTTCATAGTGAGGAGAAAAATGGTAAAATCATTAATTTTGCTTGCAGAAACAAAATGTTTGAAGATAAACACTTAGAAAAGCGAGCAAAGGATCACAGCAGTATCTCAGCTTTTCACAAGGAATAGATCTAATCATTGTCGTACAGTTCCAAGCCATTTTAGAAATGCTTGCCTCTTTTACATAAACAGCAGAAACTCCATTAAAGAAGGGCAGAGAAAATCATAGTTGGTTTGCCTGTAGGAATCAGAAGAATCTTTACAGACAAGAAATATGGAGAGTAAGCAGCAGGGGGAGAACGTTCAAGCGAAGCATTGCCGGAGAAAAGTTTAACATGCAACCACCACCTCCACCCCAAAGAAAAGAAAGAAAAAGATAAAGCCAGAGTAGAGGTGGACATGAAGAGATGAGAAGGAGACCAAAAGTGGTTTATTGAGCTTCAATAAGCTGACCACGTAAACATCTGCATTAGCCTAAGATAGCAGTCATGCAGACAACGTAAGCACCCAACTCCCCTAGACAGAAGAAGGGGTAATTGGATTTGCTACTCAGGATAAAGAAAGAGCCACCATGACAATCATAAATAACCTAATAAATCCTGAGGAATAGCTAAAGAGAAGGTTAAATGAAGCAGTGAGTTAAGAATGCCATCTACAAAGCAGGCTTGTTAGGTGCAGAGAAATGAAAAAGAAATTAGAAGCTGTAAAACATCTCGTGGGTCACCTTTTTATTGTTTTCTTGTTCAGAATCGTCCACAGCCTAAGGGGAAAAATACAGATATTATCCAAAGAAGTTGTAGTATCACACACTCATAACTCAGAGAGAGCCAGGAAGCATAAAGCAAGAGGAACATTGGACATGTTATCTTACAACAATCCTTTTCGCCAGGTGTACAACTAATTTAATGTGCTGCTTAAAAAGTACAGCAATTTGCAAGGTGGCAAAGGAAAGTCCCTCGGTGCAGAAGGGATGAAAGAGTTTGAGTGGGAATAAGAGCACTGGGTCCATATGAGCACTGGATGAAAAGCAATGAACTGAAGGTGATCCATATTCCATTTTGAGAGAGAAAACACATCCTCTTGCTGGACCAAGGAAATTGTATAGCTGTAGCAGAAACAGCTCTACATTCTGAATAATTATATTAAAAAAATAGCAATTCTATCTCTGACATTAACAGAGGGCAACATATGAAGACACCATTCTGGGATAAGTACCAAACATATAAATATTAGGGGATGAGAGTAGACAACTCAGATCATAACCAAAGAAAGAATAATAAATAAGAAAGAGCGGCATGCCTTTTATTTTATGTTGCCACAAATATACTGAGCTAAAAGATCAACACCCAGCTAAGTTACATGTTTTCTGAAGCTCCAGAGAAAGTAAAGAAAAAGCCAGCAAGGTATCTTGGCATTCCTAAATTAGCACGTTTATTCCAAAAATTTTATATAAAAAGGGGGGAAGCTTTGACAGCAAGGAGAGCTTTTACTGATACACCAGTCTCAGTAAAGGTCAGAAGATCACTTAGCAAGAAGGAAGGACCTAGAAAACCAACACGAGCAAAGTTATACAATATTTTATCATTTTTATTTTCTCCTAGAGTGAGTAGAATTTGATCTGTTTACTCTGACAATATATTGAAATGTTTGATAACAAAGAGCCATGTAGTATTTTGAACAGAATAGTAAACTATACCAACTAAGATGAACTGTAGCAGCACCTTTATTTTCCACTGTTTTATATGATATTTAGCTACCGCCTCAAACTGACTCTTTCAGAGGCTTCCTTTCCTGATTTTACAGACTTCTAGCTTACAAATCATCTGTACAATTATTCACTGTAAAATCATTATTCATAAAGTAAGTCAAATTCAGTGTGTATTGAAGGCTAAGCCTGTAACAGAAAAACAGTTCAGTCCAGCAGCAACTGGCAATGAATAGAGTTTGACTCCCTTTGTGACTTTCACCCAAATCTCATACACACTGCAGACTTAAAAGTATAATGTGAACAGAAAGTCAGATGTAGTTTTCTCTGAATGACTGGATGGTACATTTTGATCTAGTGTCTTGGTCATTCTGAGGAAGAAGTTGTTTAATCAACGTGCATGCACGATAAATTAGTTTACCTTTTTCACATGATTGGCCACCACTTCTTTTTGGCTCAAGTCATCAGCAGAGAGCTCACTTCCAAACTTGTACTCTGGATGGGCTTCCTCTTCCTGGTCAGCTAAATGCCCACACAAGCCAAAAAGAAAGGAGACACAAGGGGAGGGGAAAATAATGTCAATGAGGATGACAACAATACCCATAAAATTGAAAGAGTACACCATTTCATCCATACAAGAAGGGCTATTATTGGTAAATACAAAGCTTCTGAAGACAAAAAGTAGCTATGAAAGGCATTTCAAAAGCAGGATGCTGTGCTTGACAATGGCTCACTCTATGACTACCATATGTAGCAATCACTCTTTACCATCTCTGCTCTTCTAGGACTAGAACAAAGACTCATTCTATTGTAGATAGTTGCACACACGACTATGTTGCACAGCACTTATATGCCTTGCCAAGAAGCCAATATTGGCACCACCAATATCAACGCCTGCTCTCTTTGCCCAGCATGATGGTAGGAATCCATTCTGTCCATTAAATCAACACAATACCATAGGGTCAGTTTACAAGTGAATATCGTGTGAACTCTCTGAACTCACTGCATATAATCTTAGAATGAACAGAACAGTTATCAAGAGAATGACACTTTTTGTCAAGAGTGGATGACTCATCCCACTATAGTCATTATGAAAACACAAACAAGTGCAATCCATTAGCCTCACAGTACTGCCAAATGAGCTGAGACACTATAATTAACAACGGGAGAGGCTGTTAATTATAGGAGGACGGTTTTATTAAATAAATAAAACAGCCTTACCACTTTCTATTTCTTCTTCATTATCATCTTCTAAGATGCTGACAGGAGCAGCGGTTTCACCAGCTTCCATCATACTTTTCAAATTTTCTAGCTGTTCTGTTTAAAATAAAATGAGTAGACAAGAGATATGCCAAAGGAGGGGAAAAGAGAGATTTGATTAATCAAGATACACTGTAAAATCATTAACAAGTTAAGGCCTTGCTTGAATTCAAAAGGATGGGTTAATTTTTGTCATTATTACATCACAGAAGGATACTGAAGTCTAGAATTCTCAGTCAACCATTACAGTCTGTGCTCTGTGAAATTCCATTCTAGACTAACTCTTGGATGACTCTCAATTAACTCATGAATTGCTAACCATCCACAGAGCCAATCACATGGATTATAAAAGGTATGCAATCAACTGTCTGATGACCTGACTGGTTTCTATAAGATGTGTTTAGTTCCCATAGGATGAGAGTACATTCAAATGTTCTCTGGCTTTACTAAGATGACCTGCCTTTTTTCAGTGCAGATACAAGTTCTCCTCCTCAGGTTTTTTAAAAAAGTAAATAGCAGATATAAGATATAGAGCAACAAACATTAAAAACATATGCATCCTACCACTAAAATATGTCTAATGCTAGTAGTTTGACTAACAATCCTTTAACTGTTTATTTGAAAGAAGGTCTCATTGTATCCATTGCAGCTGACTTTCCAGTTAATATAGAAGGGATATTCAAAATCATTTTTTGAAAAAAAAAAAAACCCACCCCTGATTTATGAGTGTTGAAAAACCCTGATGATATTAATCCTGGATTGGTGAGAATATTTATAGTTCAGGGCTTATTCTGCAAAAAAACACAGTTGTTTTGTGCAGAAAACCATGTTTTGAGCAAAAAAGAGCATTTTTCTTTGAAAAAATATTGTAGCATACAAATATGAATTTATATGCACTCATTGGGGATTTATTCTATGCAAAATTAAACATGGTTAATTTCAATAGATTTTTTTGCACAGAAATTAGCATTTTTGTGGTAAAATATTATTTTCCACAGGGAAAATCTTGTTTCCTATGTGCTCCTAAGTGTTTCTTTATTCATAAAATCACCATATATGAATTGTGTCAAAAGAGTCCTGAATTGAAAGTAGCCCACAAAAGTTGAGTTTTCAAACACTTTCTCACGATAAGGAGAAATTGTAGAATTCACCTGATGCAACCTTTGAAAAGGTTTGAAGTCATTCTAGAAATCACTCTACCATTCTCCTTGTAACAGTATCTCTGCTAGTGGGGAATGAAAAAAATTGGATTGCTTCCACTGATTGAGTTCAAAAGGTACAAAATAATAAGTTGGTTCTCAGGAAAAGCTGCACGACTCTAAAATAGAAGAGACTCCATACCACTAAAAATTAAAACTAAACTGAAAAAACCCCCAAAGAGTTATATACAAAATTGTATCTTATGAAAACACAGTAAGATTTTTTTTTTTAAAAAAAAAGAGGAAAAATAGTAAGATAACAGAACAATCCAACAATCCTCTGGTTAGTAATTTTACAATGCCTCACTAATGAATAACAACACAACAAACAACCCCCAATGTTTCCCTGGGAACTCTGGAGGAAACTAGATGTTTTAAAAAAGAGACTACAATATTATTTTCCACTGCGGATTTGTAATATCCAATGTTTTTAATGCCATTTGACTTACTTTTCTCCACTTCTGGTTTCAACCTCTTATTTTTGATAAGAATCTTTTTTTTCAGGTCATTTGGGGAAGGCAGGGGTCTTCCTGATTCAAGCTGTAAACAAGAAAAGAGGTATAACTAAGGAACATGCATTTATTGCGGAGGTGGAGAAGGGGACATGAAAAGAAGAGTTCAATAGTTCAGAATTTGAACTCTATGTGAGGAAGAAATCCAAGGAGAAATCTTATTTACAACAGCATTGCTTGGTGCTAAAAAAGGCATTGTGCAATATAAAAACATAGTTTACAAAGCACTGAATTTGAGAAAAGAACAACAGTAGAACCACCTGCAGCTATACTACAAATGAGGAATCAATGTTAAGGTATAGATGAAATCACTGGAGACACTTAATGAAAACAACACTTTTAATTGTAAGGCATGTCAAAAATAGTCATGCCTTTAGACACGTCTTAAAAGTAGAAGGCTAATGAGTTCCCAAGGTAAGATTTTGCCAGGCAAAATGCATGGATATTATGAATTGGTTGTTAATGTTGTGTACTTCCAAGAGATTTCTGATTCACTGCAAACCTATCACAGGGACTTCTTGGAAAGATTTGTTCACAGGGATTTGCCATGGCCTTCTTTTGGGATGGAGGGAGTGTGACGTGCTCAAGGTTTTCCAGTGGGCTAGCATAGCTTAGTGAGGATTTGAGCCCTGGTCTGCAGAGTTATAATCCAGTGCTCAAACTACTACATTGTACTGGTTTTCTCTGAGGCAACAAGTATAATCGATTAGCCAGGAAAGGTATTGAAGGAACGCAAGGCCATAAAAGAAATATTCTGAGAAATTTAAGAGTAAATATCTTTAGTAGTAACACAGTTTAGTGGCTTCGTGTTGCAGGCATATGATGTCTTTGAATATACATGACATTTTGCATCGCATTTTCCAGATGTTTTGAACAAGACAATTTAGACAAAATGGTTGGAAGATACCTACTGGATATCCTTCTAGTGGTTGCTTCAGCAGAAGTTCTCCAAAAATATCTTCACAATATTTTGACATTTTGTATTGTTGATATTTGCTAGGAGAAAAAGCAATATTATGAAAGAAAATATAATGGGACATTAAATCTAATCTACTATTTTTATGCTATTACATAACTAAAATTAGTTTAGAAAAATATTCAACAACATACAAAAGGCCAATGTCATAAACCTTTAATAATTGAATAACTAGTTAAAAATAATTATGCGATAGTGATGTTCAAATATATTAAAACCTTTGTTTTAAACCTAATGTTGTGATGCAACTGAAATCTGACATTTTAAAAGGAATGATACAAATGTATACTCACAAGTGACCTCAAATTTAAGAGTTCAGTAATGTTAAACTACTGTTATTAGGAACAGCTTTTCTAGAATTTCATTTTGAGCCTATCACTAAAATATGCAAGAGGAATATTTATTTCAAAATGTACCTGCAGTGGTTTTCAAATGACAAGATGACAGGATAGTCCGATGTTACAAATGCAGTTTCCCGAATAGCTTGAATCACGTCCTTCAAAAAAAAAAAAAAAGCACAGAAATTGTTATATGTGAAAACTAAGCAATCAAGATCCTATTAAACAGAAAAGATGTTACAGGTAAAAATATAAATGCAAAACATATATTGAAAAATAAAATTATTCTCACTGTTTCATTTTGACTCATATCACTAATATGGATAGTAGGATTCCCCCTATCCCCTAATAATTCTAGTTTTTGTGATAAAGAACATTTGCCATCTACCATAGAAAGCCATGATAACTAGGAGCCTATGTGATTTATCCAAAGCATTTATTGCCCCAAACAACCCCAGGAACAAGCCTAAAACCTAAGGGCTCTTCCACACAGCCATATAACCCAGAATAACAGGGCAGAAAATCCTACAATATCTGCTGTGAACAGGGTTATCTGAGTCCACACTGCCATATATTCCATTCCAAAGCAGGTAATATGGGATTTTATTCAGCTGCTTGGGGTCTAAGACACCAAGAAAAAAATGCTGTTTTGTTGGGCTGTGTTATGACAGACGCGGTGATCTATAGTGGCTATACTAGCTCCACTGCTATTGGTGGTACTGTATATACTCATGTATAATTTGATGGGGGTCATTCTGAAGAAAGGGGAATATTCTAGCACTGCCTCAAGGATCCTGCTGCCCTGATTTCTGCTGCTGCCATTTTCTCACCCAGGCATTCAAAAAGGACTTGTGCCATTCAAGGGGACGATTTCTTTTTTGAGAAAAATTAAGGAACCCTTCCTTTTCTTAAGTAGCAAGGTAAAAATGAGTTTAATCCATCCCAGGAAGACCTAAAAGAAATACTAACCCCTTCTACTCTCTGAGGGCCAATCTAAACAGGTCCATATCCTGGGACCTGTTTCAGTTTTTACAAGAGACATCCAAATGACACCTTCAGTAAAAATGCATTAATTTGGAACAAACGAAGGTTTCCCATTGATTAATTAAATACCCCATTAGATCCGGGCCTTCCTGGAAGACCTGGGTCTAATGGGATATTGGGACTGTGGGGACTGACTTCTGGGTCATTCTGGTACTACCAGGGGTAGGTCCCCATTGCCACCTCACACCTTTTGGGCTCCTGGAGCCCAAGATGAGGGATGGCGCCCAACCCTTTCCCCCAATCTGCAAATTTACCCCTTAAAGTTAAAGAAAACATACCTGGCTGCCGTAAGTTCCCTCCTAGCATCCTCACAGGGACGAGGAGAATATCTCTTCTTTGCTCCCCTCCCCCCCCCCAATCTTCTGGTGCATCATTTCCTTGGACAAGGAGAGAATGTATGGTGGCCAGGTATGTTTTCCTTAGCTTTTAGGGAAAGTTGGGGGGTTTTGGGTTGGTTGCATGCCATGTAGAAAGCCTGGTTTTTTTTGGCAGAGTGGAGGCTGATATCCACACCAAAGCAGGTTTTTTTAACCTGCTTTGGTGCAGATTTTAGTACTGTCTGAAAGCTCCCTGACTGGTCCTTTGAGGGAAGTGCCAAAGAGTCGTCACTGCCATTTTCTTTCCCCAAATGTTTAAAAAGGCCAGAGGTAGTGCCATGAGGGAGACAGTAGAAGGAATCAGCATTTCTTTTAAGGTTTCCTGGGAAGGCTTTTGTCCTTCATCACTACTAAGAAAAGGTGGTGGTTTGTGTTTTGATAAGAGTTAAGGATTATACACACAAGTATATACAGAATTCTTATCTCTTTCCTTTCCATTGAAATCACAAATTTGTCAGAATATATTTTCTCTCTCTTTAAATACTGTCCCCTTCTGTGGTGTAGCCCATTATATGATACAAATACTTCACATGGGAGGATCTGTTATTATATTGCTGTGCAGAAGGTTATATTGACTCCAAACAAGCTTCTGCATAGCAATATAAAAGTAAAATGAAGCTACAGAACAGTGGCTGCTGGTATAGGATTTTTTAAATGGAATAGCAGCATTATACTTAAGAGAGGGTTTATACAACTTGAAGACTCGGTCCCCAGGAAAACAAGAAAGAAATGCATGAATATATCTATGACTGAGGTTTAAATTATTACAGGTGACACTGACCTTGAAAAGTATATCCGTACACATAGCCTTTCCATGTGTTATTATTGGTTCTTGGTCCTCACCTTTACCATCCCAGCAATCAAGTTCGACACATCTATAAACCCAATGTGAAAAAAAGCATTGCATTAGAATTTCCAGTCAAATTATGTGACAAAACTGTGGTTGTCTGGAAATGCATTTTGTATGTGCAGAAAGGTAAGTGACAGAAAAGGATCTGCATTATAGGCCAAGACATTCAAATCTAAATTATACACATGTAAATACTGAGTCATTTAGATCAAATGTGGAGAAAGTGAAATCAGTTGTTTTTGTTTTATATACCCATAGCCATACTTTACTGGTGAGCTGGTCCTTAAGGGTCCTTAAATGGACCAACACCGCTCTCCCATTTCTAACAACTGCCTCCTCCTGAATTAGATCTAAGCAAATGCTTCTGAAAGGCGCATGGCCCCTGTTGGAAATGACAACCTTCTTCAAGCCTTCTCTAGTAATATTTTTATCTATGAACCTGTTGCTTACTGGTTCTTGTATGTCTGTTCTGGTATGCAGCTTCATTTATTCTATGGTTCCTGAGAAGTTATAAAAGGGGATGCAGACCACATGCTCTCTCTCTCTTTCTCTCTCTGACTATGTGATCTGTTGGTAGCTGTTTTGCCAGAAGAGATGACCGGGCCAGATGGCACAGAGAATTATCTCAAATATATCTGAAACTGGACTGATACGTTTTGTACCTATCTATGCTGAACACATGAAGGTTGTGAGCAAACCAAATATGTCATTTTTTTAATCAAACTCTGCTTCATTTTTGTCTCTTGAGTGCATAATATAAAACAAGTTTATGGGAGAGTATATATGTTTTTGGGCACTAGAAAAAACACTTCTAAAGTTCTACTGTTTTTATGCACTGGCAAATCTCTGTTTTCCAAACAGACCAGAGATAGCTGGTTATTCAGTCTAACAGGGGAACCACTGCCTTGCAAAATTATACCTGGTTTTTGGCTCCTATTGAAAGGTCACGCTTTTCTTTTAAAAGTTATGATCTCCAAATGATGTTTTACAAAAAGTTGTGAATGCCATTTTCCAAAAGCCCCAACATAATTGAGACTATCTTTGCTGCTGAAAAGCAACAGCATTCAGCTGTTGGAAAGCAACAGCATTCAGCTGATAAAAACAACTCTAATGATTTTAATTCTTTTATTTAAAGGTAGTTTGCAAACTTGCCACATGTATTGTTACAATACTTTTAATATTTAATATAGTGTCTGTATGTATTTATATCATACATTTATAATATATAGCGAATTGAAACAGCAGTTAATTAGATAAATTGAAACAGTTTTGTAGCATAAATTCCCCTTAAAATATTCCCTTAAAACCATGCATGTCCAACCTGCATCCAGCTAAGAGGACTTGTCTATACATCTCCACAGATGACTTCCCACCAAACTGTCTTCCTGTGAGATAAGTGTTGTGGGATGAGCTAATAAAATAATGAGCCAAAGGCTGTTCCATTTCTTGGTATAGTTCTAAGCGATCCAGGAAGACAGGTGCATTCTCATCTGACATCAAGTATCGGCAGAATCCATCACTCGACATGAGACCTGGAAAGCATGAAAAAATATTTTAGAGTCCTTAGGTGTTCTCATTTTATCTAATGCTGAAAGTGCATATTTTGTTGTAAAATGTGGCTCATCTTTTTGTCATGGTCTGGAATTCCCTAATTTGAATGGGCAATTTGATAAGGCTAAATGTGGAGAAAGAAATGATAAAAGAATGAGGAAAATAGTGTCCTATATTGGTGATGTAGAGTACAATTATGATCTTTAAACATCAAATGCATCCACATTGTTTTGAGTTCGACAGGAGATAAAGCAAACATTGTATATGTGTTTAATTATCATTCTGAAACTGCCTCAAGCCACAAGGAGAGGCAGATAAGAAATAATAATAATAATAATAATTGTAATCCTAAGGTAATCCTATCAAAGGGTTATCTAAGGATGAGATCATGTGACTTGGCAAAGGCCACCTAGTGCTTTTCCATGGCTAAATACCCAAACTACTACACCTTGGTGGCTTTCCAGGATATAGAAGGTATGTCCCATGAAGAAAAAGTTAAGACTGGAACGCATTTTCAAAGTAAACCACAGAGTTTAACATCTTATACCCTCTACTTCTTACCTTTGCTCTTTAAATCTTCATCTGGCTCATATGTCTCCACTATCTGCATTGCTCTTTTGGGATCATAGAATGGAAATAAAATTTCATTCAGCCGAGGATCTCGTTGGTGCTAAGGTTAGAGAAAAAAAAAGAGAGAATTGGAGAGATACTATGCAGCTTTATTTCAAAAATGTTGGATTAATGCAGATATTGCAGCAATGGGAGAATGCAAGTGCCTTTAAAACCAAGCTATTCTATTTTCTATATTTAAAAAATTGAATTCTAAATCTTCTGTGATAATTACTTTATATTTGTATTAACTAAAATTGAATAATGCGTTGTTACTGTTATTACTCATAAACTGTAACAGTCATGTAATACGTATAGTAAATCACTGCCCATTTCGGAATTCATCAATTAACGTCTTTATTTTCAATAACAGACCAGTGTGAAGTAGATTAATTCTGTAAGCTTCTGAATTGTTGATATTACACCATAACTATTTCTCTGTAAATATTATGTTGTCAAAAATTATTTGCTGAAGTGGCAACATATACAGAAAAAAATTATTAAGACTGCCCTACAGAAATGATGATGTTGATAGTATGTTTTATGCAATTCTATGATTTAATAGTTTTACAGAACAGGCAAATTTATCTGCCCATCTAGCAGGTTTTTTTTTATATAAAAAACTAGCTTATTGCTTAATTATATTGAAAATAAACACTGCTATGAAAGAGAATATAAAAATGACTATGTTATATCTGAGTGAAGTTATCTAATTTATGTTAATGGTATCAATGGCAAGCATCCAAAAAGCTTGATATATACTGAAGGCATGCACACATGCCACATCCAAAGTGCTTTTAAAGTACAAACCTAAATGTTGTGTGTATAAAACACACAAAGTGAGAGGCACTAGTATTGGGGAAACAAAAGACCAAAGTTTATGGGGGATGCATAAACCAATTTTGAATTATGCTCATTTAAATCTGCCTAAAACAGGATATAGGTTGTATCTACATTGCCATATAAAATCCAAATTATCTGCTTTGAACTGGATTATATTGCTACTTTATGCCATTAGAGAACGAATCCACTTTAAATCAGGTTTCTGCCTCCTTCAAAATTCTGGGCTTTGTAATTTTGGGAGGAGCCTTTAACAGCCTCACTAAACTACAAACTACAGAATTCTGCAGGAGGCAGAAACCGGATTTAAAGTAGATTCATTCTCTATACTGCCATATAATACAGTTCAAAGCAGATAACCTGGATTTTATATGGCAGTGTAGATGGGACCTTTGACTGTTGATGAAATCCTACCACCAACACACAGTAGGTGTGGTGAAACAGTCCATTGTTTTGATTTAAATTGGTTTTATCCTTGTCTGACCCTCAAATTTAGAGTTAAATTACAAACCATTTAAAATTAATATCTGCTCACTCTAAATGGAATTTCCAGTTTGATTCTGGAATTTGGTGGCTAACTTTTTTTTTTGTCGTGTCAGGAGCGACCTGCAAGTCGCTTCTGGTGTGAGAGAATTGGTTGTCTGCAAGGACATTGCCCAGGGGACGCCCGGATGATTTGATGTTTTATCATCCTTGTGGGAGGCTTCTCTCATGTCCCCACATGAGGAGCTGGAGCTGATAGAGGGAGCTCATCCGCCTCTCCCCGGATTCAAACCTGCAACCTGTCGGTCTTCAGTCCTGCTGGCACAGGGGTTGAAACCACTGCGTCACCGGGGGCTCTGGTGGCTAACTAATACAAGCAATTCAATGACTTGCTGTCAAAATCAGGTGTCAACAGGGCTGTATCCAGAGGGGAAGGAGGGCTTAGAAATTCAACCCCACCCTGAAATGTGTCAGGTTATAAAAGAAATCTGGTTTACTCATAAACTGGTTAACCAGTTAAAATTCATGAGTAGACCAGGTTTTGGGGGATGGGGGTTGGGCAACTGGAGCTGGGTGGAGTGAAAATCAACAGAAAACGAAAACACCATATCCACCCTAATATTGCAAGATCATTGCAATACGTTAGTTGTATAAAACCACCAAATCACCTTTATGCATTCTCAAAAGCCATTGGATTTAGAAACTATATAAACTATTTATTTATTTATTTACGACATTTATATGCCGCCCTTCTTACCACAAAGGGGACTCAGAGCAGCTTACAAGTAAAAAAGTAAATGCAATATAAACTATATGAAGATGTCCTGAATCATGGCCAGCCAGATTGTCCCTATAGAGTATATTGATGGGTAATGAAAAAGTATTTCATCCCAAACTTATTTTCCTTACCCTTGGAGGGGTTTTGTTTTTTTTTTTTTGTTTTTTTTGAGATTGTGAATTGATTTGTGTGTTGGCTGCCTGAGCGCAAGAGTCTCATCTTACTATGCTTCACTATGGTATTTAGTCCCTCATATAATTCCTGGTTCCCAAATTCTCATTCTCCCATGACAGCTGCCCACAACTTATCTGAACAGACATAAATGATGGAGATTTAAACTCAACAGAGAAATGATTGATAGACATTTCATCAGAATTATATGACCAATATGTGATTAAACAGCTTTAGCATGAAATGTAATTTGGTTGAATGGTACTAAAAATTGGGCACAAAAGAAGAACACATGCTTGCGATGTACTGTGTCAACAACAGCAAAATACCAATAGCGAAGAACAGGAAAAGCAAGGACAAACTATTGATAGAAGAACAACTTTGCAATCTCTAGCATTTCAGAAATATATTTACTATTGCAACCTAACAGGCTGTAAACAATTGGCATTTCCCCCAAAATGTTTGCCTAGCTGGATACTGTTTGCTATCTATCGGGTTGAAAAATAATGCATGTTTGAAAAAAATGTGCACCTGGATTCTAGTAATGCTATACATTTGTGACTTTCCAATCAATCCCGGTACAGTAAAATGGTTAGATGACATCAAAGAATAACATTTCTACACAGTAAAATATTCAAAATTGGATGAAAATGGAATCTTACTAGTTTAGATTTTTGCTGTGTATTCAATTATGATTATTAATTAATAATGATAATGATATTAACTTTGCTGAACAATCTTAAGTGTCTTGTAGGTTTTTTTGGGTTATATGGCTATGTTCTAGAGGCATTCTAAATTCCAGACATGAAAGCCTTCAACAATACAATCTTAAGTGTTTCTGTTTGAAAGCTTGCTTTACTAGCAAGTAGCCTTCTCCTAAGTATATGTTCATTTTGTTTTAATTAGATGGAAGACATGAAATGCATCTAGAAACACTGTGAGTTCGATTGCTATATCTAGACTCCTATGGCCTGGCATGTCCTCAGAGTCATCTAGCACAACAGTTTCCAAGACAGTAAAATCCAATGGTCTATCTCCAGTTACCCCTAACAGAACATTGTAGACCATCAATCTACTAATGGTCAAATTCATCCGCAGAAAGGTTTTTTTTTTATTTGTCATAGTAGGCGGGGGCTGTAGCCTGTGTGACTGATTCTCCGTCAAAACAAAACAAAACAAGGATAGGTGTACAAAACTGAGGTATATGCAGATGCAAGCAAAATAAAATTATGGCTGTAGAAATCATTCCACTTAAGGAAGTGTTCAGTTGTAAACTTTACTTCTGGGAGATAAAAGATAGTTCATCACATATTTCATTAGACTTTTGGAATGGTCAGGCTTTATGTAAGAGGAACAAAAGAATCATAGTTGTCATTTCTTAAATAATTTGGCATTTTGTTCAATGTCAAGTGATTCCCAAAGAAAAAGCAAACAAAGGAATTATCCTCTTCATAGTCAAAACATTCCTTTGTCTATTGCAAATATGACTATGAAAAAAAAGGCAAGCGATGCCAAACCAAAGCATGCAACTGAAAACCCATCCCCTCTTAATTTATGCTACAAACAATATGCACTAGATGTACAGAGACTTAATTCTCTATACATTGATTTCCTGGGTATCTAATGCTTCTGAAAAATGACAGAAGCTGGATATACAGTCCTTGTCTGTGAAGGAGAATTGCTTTAAACCAAAAATTGGCATGCATTAGTTTACAGCTCAACCACAAATGCATATTGCTCATCACAAGCAGCAGAAAGCTTTGCATTATTGGCTCCAACATAAAATCCTAAACAACTATGAGAAGGAGGTTCGGTATAAAGAAACAATCTCCTTCTGTTTTGTTGTTGTATACTTTCAAGTTGTGCCAGATTTATAGTAACCTTATCATAGGATTGTCTGCAGCTAAAAACATGTGACTATTCCAAGGTCATCTAGTAGGTTTTTATTTGAGCCCTGTTTTTCAGTGTTGTAGTCCAACTCTCAAACCATTTCACCAAGATAGCTCCTGCTTAAATTACGTGTAAACACTTCATCTGGAGTACTGAGTAAGAAGCAGGGAGGGTATGAACCCTGTTTGCTACAGACAAATTCTGTCTGAGGTCATTTTGCTGCACAATAAATGCTCCGGGGTAAGTCTACTGTAACTGCAGTTGATGTCTGCTTTTGAAAAAAAAAACTGGGTGTAAGCCATGCTCACAACATTATGCCACCACAATAGTTGAGACACATGAACACAGCCTCAAATCCATCTTCTCCAAGTGCATCCGCTGCTCGCTTTTCCTGAATTCAGATTGACAGGTGACTGAGAATAGCACAGTAATGATTTGAGTACTGGATTATGACTGGAGATCAAAGTTCAAATTCAGCCATGAAAAACCATTGGGTGACCAAAGTTAATTCCCTAGGGCTATCATACATTGGAATTTACTTGGAGCACACAACAACTGATTAATTGGCTGGAAGAAGAGCAGTGTCGTGCCAGCTGTGATCCCATCAGGTGGGCCCACAATATTTCGTACGTAAAGCCATTGCGTTGGGTACCAACTGCTTGGAGGTTAATCTGTTTGGGGCATGGCTGGTTCCCACTTTCAACAAAACAAGATATAAAGAATTAGTGTGCCATATATGGTTGAATACAGGGCTGAACTGCAAGCCCCCAAATACAAGATTATTATTATTATTATTATTATAACTTTATTTGTACCCCGCTAGCATCTCCCAAGGGATTCGATGCGGCTTACAACAGGCCGGAGCCCAACACAATACAACAATACAATACATAGCAAATAAAACAGTTAAAGCAGAAAACAATAACAGTAGCAGTACAACAGGACATTATTAAAAACTGAGCCGGCCAAGAGTAGGGTACAGGATAATAAAAGTGCTGAAGTGTCGGAGGGATATGGGGTTAGAATATAAGTGCAGTGTGCGGTGAGAGTGATCTTGACTCTACTAAAGTGCTTCTGGGCATAGAAAATAGGTAAGCTGGGAACCCTAATAATATATAAAATCCATTATAAATTTTACATTAAAAAGGTATGCAAAATTGCATATATAGTATTTCAATAACCATGTTTGATTATTGTAACCACATTTCTTAAGTCTTCTTTTCTCTTTCTCTTTTCCTTTTTTAGGCACTATAGTTATCATAGTAGGTGTAGTGTTATTACTGTTGTTTATTAAAAGCATTACAAATTTAACTGAATATGTAATGAGAATATTAACATTGTTATCTGTGGCGAGCACTAGAAGTTTTATTGTTATCATTAATGAGCAACTCCAAATTATTTTCCTAAATAGCTTCACTGTTTGCATCAGCATAGCAGCCTTGTACTAAGGGAATGTGTCATACTATGAACTGTTTGTTACTGAAGGTTATAAACTCAAGTCCCACCTCCCTGTTTCAAAATACTACCACAGAGTACTTTGAAATGTGTCTCCCCACTTTCCCCCATGGATATAATACGTTCAATATGCTGTGTGAATTACTTGAATCCCAGCAGTATGCCAAGGCAGTATTAATCTCTATCAAGTTATAAGGGGAATGTTTTCTATTGACCTCAAAAGGACCGGATTTTGAGCAGGTATGCAGAGTGTTTCATTTGGACTCCACAAAACATTTATTATATTGCGTAGCTACCTTGCTATCATTTTTAAAACAAAAATCTGCATTAATTTGCAGCCAAATTATCCACTGGGTTTGAATTAGAGTTCTAGGACGCAAGACAAGTAGAAAACTAGTGAATATTGCCTTTTTTTTTTGTATTCCAAATAAATGGCTCCGGTTTATCTGTATATCACAAACGATAATAACATATAATAATAAAATTTATTTATATCCCAACCCCTTTGCACAATACAGTAAAAAAAGATACAGTAAAACACTAAGAGATGGAAATCTTTGTTTATTTTCCCATGGGCAAGAATGAATAATTTCAGGAATTTTCTCTCTATTAAACTAGAATATGAAAATTCTGCACAAGTTCTAAGCCTTATTACAACTTTGCAACTTCAATGGAGAAAATTCACTTCTTCTATAAAATACATGTAATTTCCCTGCTGTACTCTCACTAGCAAATATAATCCCCTTCATCTCTTCTCCATGGTGCTTCACATCATCTGAATCCTCATTCCTCCTCTAGGGAAAGTTTCCTTGACTTTCTCTAAGATGACTCCTAGAACAAACTGACTAGATTGCCAGACAGCTACTAACTCCATCTCATATCTCTGATCAGTCACTGACTAGATGACAGCAGCTCCAGGATGGATGAAAATCTGGCCATTCATTTAATATTTCAAAAATCAATAATCATGATTGACATGTGAGATGTAAGGCAGTTTTGGATCAGATCTAGCCCCAAACTCTAGTGTCCCTTCTCATCAAGAACTGATTTTTCATGAACATAGGCTAGCATCTCTTTTGTTATAATTGCAATCCTATATCTTGTTACAATTGCTGCCCTATCTTTATAATATTTGTTTTCAAAACAGCAACAATTGATTAAGTTCAACTCTAATCAGTTCCTTAGATCCTGACAAAAATGCCGTGTCACTATTTGAATGAATCATGAGTGTGCTCACCAAACAGAATTAGGATTTACTTTCTAAAAATACTACATGGTTAGCGATTCAGGTTTCTAGCAAAAGGACATCTTGGAGAGAACATGTTGTCAATAAATCAGTCAGCATGTTAAAAACAAATACACACACATTGCTGAAAAGACAATTGGAAAATATGACCTCCAGTGAAGAAGCAATTTTTTTTTCATTTCCCCTTCACCACCCGCATCCTCTTTAGAAGGACTAATTCATAAACATTTGTCTCCTAAAAATAAAAGGATTTCAAATCACATTGGTTAAAAGAACACTAGACACAACAACAAAACAATCCACACACAGCTGCTATACACTACAATAGGTAATCAATACAAGCAATTTGCAAAGCCAACACGGAGAAAATAGGAGAATGCAACAAGTTGGAGCTGATTTTTGCACCTGGATATTCCCAAAATGGAAAGATCAGCTGATTGGAAGCACAGCACACGGTGGCATGGAACATGCAATGAGAAGAACAGAAGAAGCAAGCCACGGCAGACAAACTTGTATGGTAGTTAATGTATGAAAAAGCTTACTTCATTTAGAAAGCTCACTAATTGGTCTACCGTTAAATAATCAGTTTTGTCTCCATTGCTGAAAAGAAATTTATTAGAAAAAGTAAGTTTTCATGTCAGATGCTACAGCAGGTATGATTTACATGTTGACATTTTTAATATTCTCAACAGCCATCTAATATTCTATCACTGATCTAATCTGTACATTTTCAATAATGTCATAGTTGCAATGGGGAAACTCAGTATCTATGTTTGCTACAAAACAGTGGTCCCCCTCCCCTTGCCCATTTCATTATTTAGCAGATTTAAACGCTTAAAAAACCAACATGTAAGTCTTCCACATCAAAATCTTAGTGTATGAATTTTCAAACATTAAGACTTTATTAACCTAGTTAGTTCACATATTGTGTTAATAATCCTAAAATAGCAGATTAATATTGTTACGTTAGTAAAGCCAATTTAAAGACAGTTCCCTGTACTTCTCTTTACTCAGAACTTCTTGAAAGAGAATGTTTGGTTGTTAATTTGGGAAGAAATCTCTAGAGAAGAACAGAGATCTGACCACTAATATTATTATGGCATAAAGTTATGTTATAGTAAACATTTACCATCCTCAGATTAAGAAATATTTTAAAAAAACATTCATTTTACATATAACCAACTTACATTTTTCGAAAAAGATCCTCTATATCAGTACGAGGACATATCTTCTGAGTGAGCTCGTAAAACTTCTCATAAGTAAAAGCTGAAGGCTCTATTTCATCATTCTGAAAAGACAAAAAAAAACCCTTCACTTTATTTTTATACTTTCTTACTCTTTTGACTAACCACTGGTTCCCAATCTTCTTTTGACCAGGGACCACTCTCCAACATTAGTACCAAAAGGATTATGAATCAGTTTTTGGTCAACTTTAGATTTGGTTTGGTTATTTGGGGTGCTGATTCAAAAAATTGCACTGGATAGACCACATCAGCTCTAGTTTCTGATAGAGAGCATATGCCATCCAGTAGTCGCCATCTGCTCGCCCACAGAAAACCATATTGAATAATCTAGAGCTAATGTGGTAGGAGTAATCTTTTGAGGGTAGTCAGTCTCTCCCCTCCTGACATCCCCGTTGCCTCGGCACTGTAAGAGGGTTTCATGAGACCAGTCACTTTCACTGCTACGTGGTTTTGAGGCAACGGTGTAGTAATGGTGAGGCCATGGACCATATTTTCGTTCATGTGGACATTTTTTTTAGCATTAACATAGAACCAAGACAATGCTCTATTTAGTCCAGAAGAGGGCAACGCGTGGCCCTCCAATTCTTGATGGAAAACAATTTCCATCAACCTGAGTCAGTATATTCAATTGTGAAATATGTTGAGTGTTGCATGTGATTTTAAATGTTTATGCTGTTTATATTTATCTATTTCTATACCATCATAAGATTCCTTGATAACACTGTTCTACAAATTTTCAGTTTTTCTCAGTTGCGGAAACGAAATGTGCTGTTTCTTAATAAATTTAACATGCTGAATTCAAATATAATAATTAAATGTGTTAATTGGCTCTGGTTTTTATGCAATAGCTATTTCAATATTCTCCACAATCGGTAATTCGTTAATATTATGATAATGTGTCATTTTCGTTTTCAGCACCCCCAAATCATAAAAGAACAGCTATTTTCAGGCCCGCAACTTTCTAGAATCTTCCATAGTGTAAGTCGCAACATGCATTTTTTCAACCATACGTGATCACGTGATTGCTTATATCATAAAAACTAGAGCCAATATACATTTTTAAATGTCATTTTTGTTTTCAGCACCCCAAAATCATAAAAGAACAACTATTTTCAGGCCCGAAACTTTTTTTCCGTTGAACAGTGTAATGGGTGGGATGCAAATACTTTCCATTTTCCATTTTATTGAGTTAATGATAGATTTAAAATATTTTATAATTCCCCAAATATATATAAACAATAATATATTTTTAACTTTAAGTTAGGGTGCTTCCACACAGCCCTTTATCCCAGGAGCATCTGTGTTTAAAAAATGTGCATGTTCCTGGGCCCCTATCCATACACACCCCAGAAAGCACGCGTTTTCTGGGGTGGGTGTCCAGATGTTCTTCCAAGACTGGCCCAGGAGAACACCTGAAGACTCAACTCCCCTCCCCAAAGCCCTAAAACCCCTTTTAAAAGTAAGAAAAACTTACCTGGCCACTAGTAAAGTGTTGCTGGAGCTCTCCTGGAGTGTAGAGATGACAGTTTGTGTCGTCAGGTGTTCTCCCCCCCCCCTTCCTGGCACATCATTTCTACGCTCCAGGAGAGCTCTGGCAACACTCTACTAGAGGCCGGGTAAGTTTTCCTTACTTTTAAAAGGGGTTTTAGGGCTTTGGGGGATGGAGTTGGGATTCCCAGTTTCCTGTACTAATTTAGTCCAGAAAACTGTGGGAATGGTGTCTGGCGGAAGTAGTCGGTTTATCATGTGCATTCCAAGGAGGTGTGGAATAAATCCACTATCTAATTATGGGGTAGAATTTAAAAGTAAAAGTTAATGTTAGAACATGGCCTATATTGCAGGGTTGGAATGGGACCAGCCATTCTGTGATTCTTAAAGGGGTAGTAGCAGTAGGGGCGGAGCTAATTTACATAAGGGAATCTGATTGGTCATATTTAAATGAGCAGATGCCAGAATTTTAAAAAGGAGGGAGTTAAGGATGACAGTTGGGAAAAAAACCTGAACATTCTGAGAGAGAAAAGAAGTCAGTTAGAGAGAGGGAAGAAAAGTCGTTAGATGAGGATAAGTTAGGGGTCCATGAATATAGGTCAGAGAACATATCCGTAGCCAGGATTCAGGGGGGGTTTCGTGGGGGGCTGAGTTTCGGGGGGGGGGGGGCTGAGTCTGAGTGAAAGAGGGTCTAGCCTAGCAAACCTTTTGTATCATTACCCCAATACCCCCATGCATGTGGGATATATTGAGTATGGTGATCAGATCATGATATGAATAAACGTAACAGTTTAAATAATGCACCAGTAAGGCCTTTTCACAAACCACCATGAGAATTTCGGGGGGGGGGGGGGCTTACATGCCTGTCAGAGAATAAGTTAAGTAAAAGTATTTAAGGAAGTAGTCATAGTGACTAGTGAGTGGAGAACAGTTGAGAGTTTGCTATTATATGGTTAACAAGTGAATCTTTCTATGTGTAAAAAGTCATAAGGATGAGAGTTGTTATGAAACAATGTTATATTCAACTAATACAAATGTAACCAACAAGCTTTGGTGCAAGACATCTATAAATAAACTCAGTTAATATGGACTTGTGTATGAAGACTGTTTCGCAAAACACTGAATAAGATTTAAAGAGAAACCCAGAGGAGTCCCAGCAAATTTCAGAAGAGAACTGGTATAAGTTACTGGCCTGAATTGGTGACAGTGGAGAGATATAAAGGAAAGGATCTTTCCTCCCCTCACTTGGTTTGAAGATATATTATCTGAAGAGGACATCCCAGTGGCGAATTAATTGTGGGTTGTCCAGAACATCACCTGGACAGCCCCCTTTTTATTGGGAAGTTTTCACAATAAAGGGGCTGTCTGGATGCACCCTGAGTTATGCGTTTCAACTGATTATATGCTGTATTTTAATATGTTGTTGTTTCCTGTTTTGATTAATAAAAATGGAAAGATGGCAACAACAACAACAATGATGGTTTCTCTTTCAGCAGTACTCAAATCTCAACACTAAGGTCACTGTCCAGCTACATCAGCATTCGAGTTTGCCTGGAAAACCCAGGAATTACACTATGAACATACTTTATAGGCCAGGCCACAATATTTTACATAATGTTCATTAGAGTTGAAGTTTTACATATTTTACTTAATAGACTTTGAAAAGGAAGAGAACTGAAAGTTCTTCACATTCACAATGACATGTGCAATGTTCTGTGTGTATTTATAGCCTATGCTCTTTAAAATGTCCTACCTTTAAACAGCATAAAGGTTAACCATTTGCAAAATTACTAATTAATATGGTTAAAAGTGGCAATGAATCATCTTCCAGAATCACTACTAAATATGGTTGACCTGCAACTCTAATCAAAAATGGTTCATGTCCATCATTTTTGCAAATTACAATTATATACCTTTCCGCTGGGAAGACCCAATTCCTTAAGTGCCTGAAAGATCACCTTTTCCGTTTTCCCTGATGCAAAGGTTCTGGTAATGCTATAGAAAAGAGAGAAGTCAGCTGTTGAAAATTTTACATAGACCATTATCAAAAGTAGTTTAGGCATATTTCTTACTAATGATTATTACTTTATGGTTTCTATAACTATGTGGTTATGGATGTTAGAATTACAAGATAATGCTAACATAATTGTGTGTATAAACAATACTGTTATAGGCTAAGAACGATGGTGGCCATCCAGATCTTGTTGAATGACAACTACATAGTCAGAATAGTCAATGACAAATCTATTTTTTTTCTAAATGAACTTCAACTTTATTAGTGTCAAAAAAGCACATTCCTGCGCTGGCTTTCCCCTGATAATCTAATTTCTTTCTTCCTAAATCCTAGACACTAATTAGAGCTGCACATAAGCCTACAAAGTTTGGGGTTTTTTAAGTCAAAGATCTTTGCTGACAGTTTCTGAGCTTCTGTAGGGAAATCTGGAGAACAGTTCTTGAAGTAGTCTAATCTACCTTGAAGAAGCTTTCTAACTAAACTTCAGTGACATATGTGCAGAATCAATTCATATAACATATTTCACCAATTCTAAGACTTACTTTTTCTCTTGTTTAAGGGGCTACAAATATGGGCTGTGCCTTATATTCAATGGCACCTTAGATTTGAGAAAATGTAGTAATTGTTGTAAGCTCTCCTCTTTTCAACAATCACTCTGTGTGTGGCAATGCCGAACTCAGCTCAACCTGCCTCTCAGCCCAATTATTCTTCCCTGACCTTTTCTCTGTGGTCATAATGGAGTGAAGGGAGGCTTTCGTCTCATTGAGGCCACTATGAAAAGGAAGGACAGCTCCAAAGTCAAAGAGATTTCCAGTCAAAGCCTCAACTGTCTTTTGCTGTTGCAAGACCTTAGAAAGCAAATAGAGGATTCAGCCTTCCTTCACTCCTTAACCATCCTGAAGGTAGAAGAAGCAGGAGTCACACTTAGCTTTTCTGCACAGTTGCTTTGGAGGAGAAGGCAGCAAACAACCCCTTTTTCCGTGAAAGTAATTGCTAAAGAAAGTAACTTAAGGTTCATAAAACCCTGAACCAAATGCTACATGATCTCAATCAGAAACCAGGTTTCCTCTAGCAGCAGGCAATTTAGAGGATTAAATTGTCACATTTCACTGATGGCACAAGGCTCAAAGATGTCTCATATCCTTGATCAGTACACATCCAACAACTCTTGATGCCTCCTCACCCAACTTGGTTCCTATACAATGCATAACCTTCATGCATATCTCAAGGCCTTTCCAGATAGGCCTAAAAAGCGAGACCTGTCTTGCTTTTACCAGAGGCATCCAAACGACAACTCCGGTAAAAGCAAAGTAATGTGGAGTGAACCAGGTTTTATCAGTTTTCTCTGTATTAATTAAACACCTTATTAGATCTGGATTTTAAAGAAAGCTCCAGGTCTAATGAGGTGCTGTATTGGGCCTGTGGGGACTGACTACCAGGACTGTGTCTTCAATCCCAGCGGTCAGTCCCCACAGCCATTCCATTTTTTGGGCTTTGAAGAGCCTGGAAGAGCAGAATAGCACCACCCCACCACTCCAAGTCCCAAATTTAGGCCCTTAAACTTACTGAAAAAGGTCCATGGCAGCCATGAAATCTCTTCTTGCATTGTCTGAGGGGCGGAAATGACAGGTGAGGGGATGGGGGGGGGGGGGGGGGGGGGGGGAGAGGGATTTTCCTCCTTACCCCTCCCATCCTTTCAGGCATCATTTCTTTCCCTTGGGACAACACAGAGAGAGGCTTCATGGCTGCCAGGGACCCTTTTCAGTAAGTTTTGGGGGTTAAATTTGGGGCTTAGGGGTAGCTTCATGCTATCCCAATTTTGATTGGGATAGCATGTGTCAACCACTAAGGGAAAGTCTGGGGTTTGGCTTGAGGTGTGTAGGTGGGCAGGAACTAGAACATGTGCTGAAGCAGGTTACTTTAACCCATTTCGGAGTGGGTTTTATGTATGTTTGGAAGGGCCCTCGGTAATCAAATGTGGCTTTCTCCACATCAAAGTTGAAATATCTAAAGCCACAAGCAGTATTACAGAGCTCCAAATCTCTTACATGTTTTAGACTATAGAAATCAATATGTTTTAATCCTCAAAGCCCATTACAATGCATGACTTCAATTGGATTCTGACTTAATAGGTAAGAAAAATTTTTAACCATGTAACTACAATTGGGAGCTCCACTGAACAGCTTCCTAAGACACTTACCTTCTAACAGGAATCTTGCCATTTGTGTTGGTTAGAAATGCCAGTTTCATCCAGCTGGAAGTTGAGAAAATGATGATTAAATCACTGGGTTGTTGTAGGGTTTTTTTCGGGCATAACAAACAAACAAATAAATTAAAAAGAGCTATTGACATAATAGCATGGAGGAAGAAAATATGCAGAAAAGTGTCTCACCTTTCTTGTCAACATCTTGTCAAAATGTGAGAACTACATAAAAAGATCTGCATTCCACACTTAAATATGGAGCCCCTGGTGGCCCAGTGGGTTAAACCCCTGTGCCGGCAGGACTGAAGACCAACAGATTGCAGGTTCGAATCTGGGGAGAGGCGGATGAGCTCCCTCTATCAGCTCCAGCTCTTCATGCAGGGACATGAGAGAAGCCTCCCGCAAGGATGATAAAAACATCAATTCATCTAGGCGTCCCCTGGGCAACGTCCTTGCAGACGGCCAATTCTCTCACACCAAAAGCGACTTGCAGTTTCTCAAGTCGCTCCTGACACGACAAAAAAAACAAACTTAAATATGAACTATATTAAAACTTTCTGTTCTCCAAATCTAAGTATTGTAGTTGTTTCAATTACAGTTCCCATCATCCCTAGCAAGCTGAATGATAAAGTTATAGTCAAAATCTACCAGAGGGTACCAGCAGCTTATATAAGAGAAGGATGAGAAAATGACCCCAGTATGCCGCCACAGGGAGCTGGGATAAACCTAGATATACTTCAAATGGAGTTTCACAATGAGTCTGTTTTATTTGGTCCATGTAGACATGGGTTAGAAGTTATTGTTCTGAGATCGGGCTGTTGTGGAATGCAGTTTTTAAATATAAAATTCTCGCATTTGCTAGTCGGAATTGGTTTAAAATGAAACCCTGGATAAGCAAAGTTCTATATTAAATAATTCCTTTGAGAACCAGTGGGGAATTTAATGAAACTAAGCTAAAGGTTAAATAATTGTTATTTTCCTGATTTTGGCCTAATGAAAGCAGGAAAATCACTCTTCCTTAGCACCTTTCGAACCTGCATCAAATGCCTACTTCTGGATTTTTATTTCTGAAAAACAGAAAGAAGGGATTCAAAGATTGGGAGGGAGAAATCCTCTTCATGGAAAACTAGGGAGAATTGAGGGCTAGCAAGGAAACCTTGTGAATGATCTTGGTCTTTCCAATGTTTCAGGGCAATCTTCAGGAGGCAGAAAAGGATAAGAATAATCCAAACCTAACAAGAACTTTTGTGCATAATTGGGCAAGCACTCTCTTTCTTGAACTAGGAAAAGATCAAACAAGGCCAAGAACTACAAGACATCTCTCAACAGATTACAATGTTCAGCAGTGAACTCCCTTAATCCCTGAGAGTATATTTGACTTTGGGAACATTTGTATTTCTGGAACAAATGAGAAGAATAAATTAGCACCACATTTCTCATGGATGTTTGAATTTGTAGAGAATGTCTCCTGCAGACTGCCCAAGATATTCATCTCTCATTGGTCCAAGTAAGGAAAGGAAATTTTGTGAAATCTTATGTTAAGAAGGCTGCAGTCAGAAACAAAATAAGAATTGAAGAGGTGAGAGAATTTTTTAAAAGCGCTCTTACTGTTTCTTGAGGCATGTCATGGGACAGACATTGTTTGCTCTAAAATTATGTATGACTGATCGGAGTCCTTCGATCCATTGCTGAAAGATAAAAACAAAACAGAACAAAAACCCCATAAGCATTAAATCATGGAAAATACAGAAATTTAAAAGGGGATCTTATCCATATTGAATATACTGAAACAATGCCAATTGTTCTCTTTGTATGATGGCTTTCTCATACCAGAAATGGAAATGTTTAATAGGATTCTTCATGGAATTCTAATTTCTGACCAGCTAGGCTCCATATAGAAATCATGTATATTGGTTGTATTGTAAGAGAGTGAGAGTATTGCTTATGTTTTGTGCAACAACAAGGATATAACACATGTCTCTAATCTGAAAAGGAAAAGTGTGGCCTTCAAGAAGTTTTTGTCAATTCCTATCATGCAGCCCATAGAAAGAGACTTATGGGAGATGTAGTCTGGACACATCTGGAAAGTCACAGCTACCCCATTCATGTCTTAAATATTTTAAAAGCATTTCATGTTTGGAACTGAACAGTTTATGCATAGATTTAAGGGACCAAAGCCCATTCTTACTTGTCAATATTTATACCATGCAAGGTACATGATCATAGTAATAGATTATTGTCTCAGTACTGGCTGCTAATGTCACCAGAAATAACCACACATTCAAGCATGATATGCTTAGCACAGTGCTGGTGGCCTGACTGCAACATTTCTGCTTCCTAGTGCCAAAGGACAGGGTCTTCCCTTTCTTCATCCACTCTCATGCTACAGAGTTAGGGAAGAGAGAGTTGCTATTATCATTTAACTGTATACCACAAGGTATTACTCATAATGGGACACATGGTCTGGGTGTGATGTTCAAAAGTTATCTCTGGTAACATAATCTAGGATCAGAAGTATTCCACCAAAATCTAAACTCATCTCAAGTGGAAAAAGGTGGGAAACCCCAATTTTCTCAGAACAATTGACGCACTACACTACTTGGGTAAAAAGTACAATTAAAGATTTCAAGCTTTCAGAAATCAGCAGGATTGAGAAGTAGAATGATATCATTCGTGAATAATAATTGTAAATATAAGAGTGGCCAGCAGTTGGGAAGTACAGAGGACCATAACATCTTCAAAGAAGATAACATGAAAACCTGTCGCCTAACACAACTATATGGTGGGTTGAAATCCCTTGATCCTGGGGTGGGGAAAATGTTGCCTGGGTCCCACATGAAGTCACAAGACCATTTTTAAGTTTCCAGGATCCCCACCACAACTCCATAAAAGAACAGTTTGCCCACAAGAAGAATCACTTGGATTGGCGAGAAAAACATGGCAAATTTGTCCCCACGTCACCTGCTCTATACCATAGTTTTCTACCATACTTTATCTCACAGGCCATTAAACCCAGGGGCCTTGAGATATGACCATGGCATCTCAGTATTCCTACATATTCAAAAGAGGAGGAGAGTCACTAAGGTTGCCGTGAGGAACACAAGGAAAGGGTGAATCTGCACAGTTGTCAACTGATGCCTCAAGGATCAGGTTGCATCTGTAAGTTGAGGCTCAGAGTTCTTCCTGATCTCTTAGCACTTTCCCTTTTAAAACAAAACTACTACCCTCCTCAACAATGTCCTCTCATTTTGTGCATTTCATTTGTAGACAGCATTTCCACAGGTATTAAGATAGTTTCTTTGTGATATAGGAGCACTCTGTCTCCTGCCACTTTTATAGTTCCTATTTGTGCACTACCTACTGCATAGAAGCATCCAAATTCCCTGGATGAAAATATTTGGCTACTTTAGTGGTCTAGACTAGAACAAAGAACTTAAGGGGTTTTCTTCTCACTTAACACAATTTTAGTGTTCTATTTGGTGATTTTTCTTTTTTACAGTTTGGGACTGTTTGCAAAAGAAAATGTGCTTTATACAGGAGACATTATTTTTGCATGAAAATAGTAAAATTGGAAGTTTTTACATAAAGAATACTTTTTATTTAAAAAATCCCCAACAACATTGTATTGTGCACAAGTAAAACATTTACAATCATAAAAACAATCTGAAACGCAGAACACACCAACAGAGTGTCTTAATCCACTACATGGCTACCAGCCTCCTGCCAGTAGACTCAAATCAAGGAAAAGCTTTATGAGAACTACCACTCCTCTTGGTGTCCCCCCATAAACAGCAAGGGTATCCCTCTGGGCAGCTAAATCAGGAAATCCCAACTGGATGGTCCCCCACGAGGGTCTTCCTCCAGGGGCAAACCAAGAATGGGCAGCTTGGAAGTCCCTGAACAGACTCAGAAGTAGAATGGGCAGATCAAAAGACAACCTGGCAAAATGGCACTGCCTAAAAGAATCCCATACCTTGTGTGACTCTGGAGCAGAACGGACAACTCCGCATCTGTATGCCTGTCCACTATGCTCAGTCTCACGTACAGAGGAAGAATAGTTGGAGGGTACAGACAATGCTATTGCTGTTGCCTGTTTTTGGTCAAAAGCTATTTAGCCACCTGTACTCCTATTTTTATCAGTTTTATACTAATTTATGCAATGCTTTTGATACAAAATAAATAAATAAATCCATAAAGACATATTTTCTCCTCAAGGGAGAGAAAAATTGCTGACATGATTTATGTAAGTGTCAAATTCATATTTCACAAATTTGAAAATTCTGGGTGTAAAATTTGAAGACAGATTATAATATTATAGATTCCATATAGGTTCATTCAAAGGTTCAGTGTTTGTACAATATAAATATGTTTCCATTATTTCAAAAACAAATGCCAAAAGATTCATTCTGCAATAAATTAGTCCAAGGTGCCACATGGCTCTTTGCTGTTTATGCCTCTATGAAACGCCATTTGCATTCAATAGCAATCTTGGCACCCTAAGGAAAAGCTGCTGGAACAGCATGAAAAATGAACCTTTCTGACCAATATCTGATCTGGCTATGTGGAAACTACATGGTAGTTTACATATTTCAAGTAACTGCAGAATAGTTTACATAACACACAATCAAGTTTTCAATAATGCACTTCCTACTTTGGTTCCTAGCCCTGAGTACATTTCTTAGCAAATATATTCTGGAGGCCTTTTAAAGGCAACATTTTATTGCACTACAATAGACATTCAACTACAAAGCAAAGAAAAATAATAGACCATTAAATGCATTAACTAAACATGGGAAGAAAAAGATCAAAAAGAGTCCTTCCAATATATTTCTCTATCTATATAAGTGATCTATGTGCTTCACACTCTATAGATCATATTTTCAGTTGTCAAAATGAAGAAGAACCCAAGTGTCTTTTAATGTATTTCAAGCAAGGCCACGGGCAATGAAGGTATAATTTGATCAACGTAATGTGATAGACTTAATACATCATGCAAATTATATTACTCTAAGATCTTCATTCTCACCCACCCCTTTCCCCCTGTCTGATTTCAAAAACATCTTTATGTCTGTGTTTTAGAAGCTTTCTCAGTGCATTTTTGTGCTTTTCTGTTGTTGTTGGCCTAATAAGGGACCACGGCGGCACAATGGGTTAAACCACTTGCTGACTGAAAGGCTGGCAGTTTGAATCCATGGGACGGGGTGAGCTCCCGCTGCTAGCCCCAGTTTCTGTCAGCCTAGCAGTTCAAAAACATGCAAATAGCTACCACTTCGGTAGGTAAAGGTAAAGGTTGTCCCCAGACATTAAGTCCAGTCATGTCTGACTCTGGGGTGTGGTGCTCATCTCCATTTCCAAGCTGAAGAGCCGGTATTGTCCATAGACACCTCCAAGGTCATGTGGCTGGCATGACTGCATGGAGCACCGTTACCTTCTCGCCGGAGCGGTACGTACTGATCTACTCACATTTGCATGTTTTCAAACTGCTAGGTTGGCAGAAGCTAGGGCTGACACCGGAAGCTCACACTGCTCCCCAGATTCGAACCTGTGACCTTTTGGTCAACAAGCTCAGCAGCTCAGTGCTTTAACTCACTGTGCCACCGGGGGCTCCTGTAGAAAGGTAAATAGCGCTCCATGCAGTTATGCCAGATACATGACCTAGGAGGTGTCTAAGGATAACGCAAGCTCTTTGGCTTAGAAATAGAGATGAGCACCTCAGAGCCAGAAGGGGAAGCCTTTACCTTTATCTGTGTTTTGTTGTTTCTAGCTATTTAATGTTTGACTTTGTGTTTGTTTATGTTGGAATCTGTCCTGAGTCCCCTCAGGCAGACAGGGTGGAATAAAAATAAAGTAGTAGTAGTAGTAGTAGTAGTAATAATAATAATAATAATAATAATAATAATAATAATAATAATAATGATATAGTAACAATACTGATTTAGGAACGTAGAACTTTTGTATCTGCTGCAATTTATTTCCAGGACCTCTGCAGGTGCCAAAATCTGTGAACACTCAAGTCCCATCATATACACTGATGTGGTATAAGGGTGTCCCTTATATAAAAGGACAAAATCAAGGTTCATTAAAAAAAATCAATCTGTGGATGGTGGAATCCATGGACACAGAATGTGTGGATACAGGTCCATCTCAGGACTAATTAGATACTGAAATGCTTACGTAGCCAATTATAGCCAAAAAAATAGGAGATACATGGATGAGTTTTCTCAATACAGAGTATTGTTTTCTTGTACCATCTACTGGAAAAACACAGAACGTTAAATTGACCTTGAGGTTTGAAATGTCACATCTTATATCCCTGCCATTAGATTGATTTTTAAAATTTATACAAAGCACTAGCTGTACCTGCCACGCTTTGCTGTGGCCAACCTTCCCTCCCTTTTTCTCTCCTCCTTTCTTTCTCCTTCCTTCCCTTTTTTCTTTCATTCTCTTCTTCCTTCCTTCTCTTCCTCTTTCCTTCCCCCCCTTTCTTTGCCTTCCTCTTTCACCCCTTTCTTCCTTCTCCACCTATTCTTGGACTGCAACTCCCAGCACTCCTCCTCCTAATCTATCTATCTATCTATCTATCTATCTATCTATCTATCTATCTATCTATCTATCTATCTATCTAACTTATCTACCTGGAGGATTGCTGGGAGTTGCAGTTCAGGAATAGGAAATTGGAAATATGCAG